TGACTGGATCTGATCTCCTTCGGGGGCTCAGCTGGCGCAATTTTTGATGGCCAACCTCGTCGTTCATCAGGACTTCGGGCATTACTCTTTCATCAGTTCATTGGCGCTCGCGCGCCAGTGGTTTGGAGAAGGATGGCGGTGATTTGTGATGGCTCGAATGGCGGCGGTGATGGACAGAGGGTGCTGCTTAAACAGAAGAGGGACTTTGGTGAGGATCAAAGGTTGCAGAGAGGGCACAGCACGAGAGGTGCGAGAGAGCCCGGCTTCCATGGGTGGGAGAAGGGCCGCACGATGAGGAAAGCAGACACCGATCCGTCTACGATCCACGCAGACTGTCGCCCATCACACACGACGAGTCCGACGCAGCTCCAGCGTGGCATAACGGGACAGACACCATGTTTGTGCTGCGCCCGTACTGCATCTTCGCACGCCAATACGATGCTTACTCGCCTGCCCTTAGGGTTGTCTTCTAGCTCCGGTGGTATTTGGCAATGTTGGCACCATGCATAAACGCCGCATAATTGGGAGTCAAGTTCAACCATGTCCGTTTAGGCGCAGCTGCCAGCTTCGAAGCACTTGGAGCTGGACACCTGCACATGCAGGACGTCGAGCTTCAGACCTCATCACTCCGAAGGAACGCGCATATCACTACAGCCCTCACTGCACGTACAAGACCTCGGATACCCCTTCTCTTCACTCCGGCTGTACCTCTTCTTGGCTGCTGGGCACGCACATTTAGCGCACGATTGCGACCTTCTTAAAAGAGATGCTATCTGCATCCAAGTGGGTTGGCCAAGAGTTTCCCTCACGTGGCAACCATGGCATAGCTCTATGCGAGCTCCCACCTGCGAACAACTTTTCACGCCGTCTTATCTGACAAGCCCACACACAAGACATGCCCCGTCTTGGGTAACATACCAAGCAAGACTATGCGCGTAAGGATTCCTCGCCCGTGGCGACGGTGACGGTAAGTGCCTGGGGTCTTGGTGGTGGCAGGTATTTCATCAAGTACTGCTCGCACATTTCTCTGGCTTTTCCACTGCTACTGTCCTTTGTCCTAGCTCAGCACTTAAAGTCGGCAGCATGGTGCTCAGCAATGTTTATGCAGCAGCCCTCTGCTCTGCCTTGATTGGCACGAGCAGTGCGGCCAGGTTTAGCGCTGAGGAATATAGCTCTGGAGAAGTGCACCACAACATCATGGGCATGAAGATGGTATTCCAGGGACCAAACTTACGAAATCGACGACCTGCTGACATCCGATACAGGCACAATGGGAGGAAGAAATGCAAACCGGTGCAATGAATAGCTCACAATGGCCAGAGCTCGGCTTCACGAAATGCGAGAACGGCTTCGCTGCTGCCATTCCTGGAGATGTCAACAACACCTTCAGCTGCCACAACACCGATTTGTACCATTTTTTGCCACATTCCGCTCTCGGCAGTGTTGGGCGAGGTAGTAGCATGTGGGGCTGGACATCAAAGGATGGTAGAGAGATCGTGGCGATTGGACAGTATGACGGTACTGCCTTCGCTGAGATCACTTCGGAGGGCAAGATTTCATACCTGGGTCGCCTGCCACAATACGATGCTATTGGATCGAATTGGAGAGAGATTCGCATCGTTGGCGATTACGCCGTCATTGGATCTGAGGCGATCAAGCACGGTGTTCAGGTAAGTTTGCTCGAGCTGTTGGTCGCTGTCAGTAAGCTGACCGCAGCACAGATCTTCGACATGAAGAAGACTTTGGATCTCGACCCAGCGAACCCAAAGAACTTCACACAAGCCGACCTCAGCTCTCACTGGGACGAACTACCAGTCGGCCGAACTCACAACATCGTTGTCAACGAGGAGCTCAACTACGCCATCGCTTGTGGCTCTGTTGGCGGCAACGAGACTATCCGAGTCCGTGGAGACCTGCCCTGCCGCGGTGGTCTTATCTTCCTTGATATGAGCGACCCAAACAATGTGACCTCTCCAGGCTGCGCAGCAGGTATGTTGATCCCACAAAAATGTCCCAAAATCGCCTCTGACCATTTTTTAGGTGACGGATATGTCCACGATGCTCAATGTGTTGTCTACCGCGGTCCAGACACCCGCTACTACGGCCGGGATGTCTGCTACGCATTCAATGGTTTGCGTTCCCCGTCCTGATTGTCCTGTTTGAAGATCAGATGTGCTAACAATCATTGCAGAAGGTAAAATTTACCGCCAGCGGGCACCCACTTCTCCAACGAAATTTCGAGGTCTGTATAAGCCACGACAGCCTGCTAATCACTAAACCAGATCATCTGACGATATACGATGTCACCAACAAAACCGGTAACACCACTACCATCATCTCTCGCACCGACTACCCCGGCGCGGAATACATCCACCAAGGTGTAGTAAACAACATGACCTGGCAAGAATACCTCTTCCTCGACGACGAATTCGACGAGCGTGACGCCGACGTAGGCCCAATGACCCAAGGTCTCCCAACAACCCACATCTTCGACATCCGTGACCTCGAAAACCCATTCTACACCGGAAACTTCAACGGCCGTAAACGATCCATCGACCACAACCAATACATCGTCGACAACTATCTCTACCAATCCAACTACGGCAACGGGCTCAATGTCTGGGACATATCATCCGTGACCGAAGACCCCAGCGGAGGCAGCATTTGCGAAGCCGGCTGGTTCGACATTTACCCCGAGGACGACGAATTTGAAGGCGGAGGTAGCGTTGCTTTCCTCGGATCATGGCACTCTTGGCCATATTTCAAGTCTGGTTTCATTTTCGTGCATACCATCGAGCGAGGCTCATTCGTCGTTAAGATGAACTCGAAAGAGTGCGTGAAACCAAAGGTCTGCAAGAGCAATACCTGTTTGAGCTCGCTCAGGGCTAGCAGCATTGAAGGAAGATTGGAGCAGTCTCAACAGTTCTGTCACACGTGGTTGCAGAGGCAGAGAATTGAGGAGAATCTGATCCCAGACTACGCCAGGACTGGGTGTGCAGGCGAGAATGTTGTGGAGGCTGTCAGCAGTGCTTGTGGCTGTGTGCCTACTTCTGCAGTGCCAGAGTTGCCGAGAACGACCAGTCGGCCACCTGTGCCTACAGTCTTGCCAGCGAAGAGGTCGCCGATGACTGCCATGTAGTCGGGTCATTTCTGGGCAGTGTCTAAGTGACATCGGGCGAAAAATATGGCACATCGGCTTTGTTGATGCTGCGAGGCTTAGAAACACGATATGATGAAGATACGTCGACATGATGATAGTCATAAAAAGCGTGGGATTGCATGTTCGTTCACACTCTCTCAGGTTCTACTTTCTATCAATTACATGTGAGTTATTATCAGCAAAAGTGGTTTGAGCGTTCCTGCTCGTCAAATCGTGTGTTACTCGCGGAGCTGAATTGCACCCGCCATCACAAATCCTCCTCCTTTATCTTTCGAACCCATTCACAGCTGCGGTTCCTTGGTTGGATCGATTCGAAAGTCGTCGAGAAGTGCGCGACGCCGGCAGCGACGGCTTTCGCATTGTTGAGAAATGCAGTCATATTGAGGTTTTCAACGGTATCTCCAAAGCCGTGGTAGTTCTCATCGGCAGCGACTCCTGCTCGTCCACCAAATTTTGCAGCTTGTCCCTCGGTCATGATCTCTTCGGCGCCAGTGACGATGCCGCCTGATGGGATGCATTCCATCAGAAACTCGAAGTAGTCCGAACCCTCGTCGAAGTCCATATTCATGTGCGGCAGCCTTTGTCCATCGTACTACTTTTGGAAGAAGTGTTCCGCTTCCGCAGAGCCTGATGGAAGAGGTGCATCGGCATATTCACTCGTGTTCCCATCATAGAGACCATAGACGAAGTTCGGAGAGGCGATCATGTCGAAATTCTTGTCACATTGTCAGCACCCTCTAAGCAAATGTACTCCAGGATCTTACCAAGTACAGCCTGATCTTGTCCTTTTCACTGTCGTGCAATCTCTCGAGATATTTCTCGGAACCTACCAATCCAACCTCTTCTGCCGACCAGAATGCGAAGCGAACGGCATTTGTGACAGCATACTTCGGCAGATGAAGAGCTGTTTCAAGGATCGCTATGAGACCAGAGCCATTATCGTTGATGCCAGGACCGGCGAAGACTGAGTCGGAGTGAGCACCGACAACAAGAACATTGTCCGGATCCCCTCGCTTGGTCTGTGCAATGAGGTTGTACGTCTTTCTCTTCTCCTGAAGTTCTTGCATCTGGAGCACACCCTCAGTTGAGATACTGGCGGCCATGGTAGCAAGAGCTTCACCATCCGCTTGAGAGATCACAATGAGTGGCTCTGAGTCCTGCTTGGGCCAGCCGAACGAGGTCAGCTCTGCAGCCTTTGCCAGAGGCTCCGTAGAGTTGTTGATTATGACTACGGCTTCCGCCCTAGTGTCAGACAGTTTTGCTTCGGCCAACTTTTCCTCATACGTGCAATTTCCCCTTCGAATCAGAGCGATGGTGTGCTGGAGGTCTGATTTTGGCGGAAAGTCTGACGGATTGCACCCAAAATTCGCGATGGGCGCAATCTTGCCAGTTATGTTGTGAGTGGAAGTCGAGTCAGTCGTTCCGTAGTAATGGCGATTGATTGCGAGATCGTACTGCTTCCCAGCCACGGTGAAAGTCCCGTTCCATTCCTGGTGGTCATTGTCACTGTGCTTGAATTCCTGTCGCTCGATCGTGTAATGCTCCTCAACAGTCTTCAAATAATTCTCAATGAGCTGAAGTGTATTTTCGTGGCCAGGCGTTCCGTACATTCGGTTCCTCATCGGGGACTTGTACGCGGCATCTTGCAGTTCGCGCGCCTTCTGAAGGAGAGCTTCTTCCTTGATAGAGTCTTCCAGCTCTTTGGAGTTCATGGGCTTGAGTTCTTGCTGTCGCGTCGAGATTGTGGCTGTTCCATTCTTGCAAGGCTCGACTGGGAGGACGCTCGCCGACACGAATGCTGTGATGAGACAAGCGTGAAGAATACTGGCTCGAACCATGTTGACGGTGGTTGAGAATCGGGGTGATGCTTGATGTATCGATGTTCACAATGGAGTCTGAGAATATGTTTTTGTCTGTTGTCGGAGAGCAGAGGTCTGCTCGAAAGCGCCTTGTCGGCAAGCGCATTGCTCCTGCGTTATTCGCCCGCAGCACTCAATGTCGACAAGGACGACGCGCTGACGGGGCAATCTAGCCATCGTCGTTGCACGCTTCCGCTCTCCATCGCGGCAGGATTGGATCGCAGCATCGAAGGCGCACATGGCCACGTGAATGAGGAAGTCGTGGACGCCTTGAGGCAGATTCCGAAGCCGGCAAGCACAACTTCCCTCACTTGACCTCCTCGGACAGACTGTGATGTTGCGCCCTGGACTCCATGCTTCTCCGAGTTGCGGGCGGGTAGAGCTGCCGACCGATCAGATGCATCTACCGAAGACAACAGGAGTATTGCGAGTCATGGCATCAAACGAGCTAAGGAAAAGAGCTGTGAATTTCTGATCGCTGATCGTTTATACGCTTTGGACATACGCGAAACTCACCCGCCAGTCAAGTGCTCGATCATGCACTTTCTGCAACGCGAGGCGGTTGGCGAACCTCGTTTGCTGCAGCTGAGGCTTGGTTGTGAGCGTCGCATTGACCCGAACTGGAAGTCATAATTCATGGTGCAGAAGTCTTGTGATGCGTGAAGAGCTCCGTGCCCCTTGTCAAAGTTCGTGCGTGCATTGCAAAGGGTTGCTTCACATGCAAGCGCCTTATGTCAGCCAATTCCGCGCAAGTTGTCGCTACGTACAGGTGAGGCAGCCATCAACGAATGATTTGCCAGCAACAGCTCAGCAACAGGGACATTTCATTCGCCTATGTGTGTGCTGCATGCATTCAATCATTAATATGTTGTTCTCAGCTGAGGGAGGGGCGGTTCCACTTTTCGACTGCTTGAGCATGCCGTGCAACGTTGTTGATCACCTGCGGAAGGAACAATAAAGGACGGGCGCGCTCTCCTGGTTGTTGACATCTTTGATGATCAAGTTGTGCGTGTACCCACTTCAAGCTCATCATGATCACAATCGTCGCACTCGTCGCATCGGCGGGTATCGCGTTCCTTCTATTCAAGCTCGCAACCGCGAAGCCCAAAAATCTCCCTCCTGGTCCAAAAGGTGTTCCGCTTCTCGGAAATATCTTCGATCTGCCACCAAAAGGCAGTCGAGACTGGGTGCACTGGGAGTCGCACAAAGAGCAGTTCGGTGTGTAATGGCTGTAGCGCTTGGGTTCCATTGCCGTACTGATCTTGCAGGCAATGTTACATCTCTAACCGTCTTTGGCTCCACGATCATTGTCCTACACGACTATGAGAGCGCATTCGAGATCCTCGAGAGGAAATGTGGCTCGAGCGCAGAGCGACCGCATGCCGAGTTCATGCAGAACATGTAAGCAGTGATCATGACAGAGGAAGACGTGAGCCCGCTGATAACCCTTACAGATGCCATTGGGGCCATAATGTCGCGTTGCAGCCGAAGGACGACTACAGGCATCGTTTAGCGCGGCGACAGTTCCATGCATTCATGGGAACAGCGGCTGCAATGTCACGACACGAACATGTCCAAGATGTCGAGACGCGTAGATTCCTGCTACGGGTGCTTCGTAAACCGGAGACGTTCTGGCGGCAAATCCGAAAGTGCGTCCAACGAGGTATGGCAAAGACAATCGCTAATGATGCTCCAGAGAAGCTGGCTCAGTGATTCTTGACCTGGCTTATGGGTATACTGCCGAGCCGGAGGCGAATGACCCATTGGTGGACCTCATAGAGACGGCACTGGAGCAGATCAGTGTCGCCGCGCAGCCGGGCGCGTGGGCTGTTGATTTTTTTCCCTGGCGTAGGTCATTAGCATACCAGAATCAGCTCACTCTAATGCATCAACAGTAAGATTTGTGCCGGACTGGTTTCCTGGCAGCGCATGGAAGCGGACAGGAAAAGAATTTGCTGCAGCAGCAGACGCATCCGCGGAGAGACCGTTCAAGTTCGTCGAGATGAAGCGGGCAAAGGGGACTGCAGTGCCTTCGTTCGTTTCAAATCTTCACGATCAAGCAGGAGGCCGGTTGGAAGGAGCGGCAGCCCACAGTGCCATGTGGACCGCACAGTCGATGTATGCGGGGGGCGCGGACACGGTATGACTATCAATTTCTGATCAGGTGTTATGTTATGCTGATAAGCTGCGCCAGACTGTCAGTACGACTGCACTGTTCTTCATGGCAATGATGCTTCACCCGGAAGTACAGCACAAGGCTCGGGAAGAGATCGATCGCGTTGTTGGCTCAGAGCGCCTACCGGAGATGGGAGATCGTGCACGACTGCCATATATCGAAGCGGTCGTCAAAGAGTGCCTACGATGGCGTCCTGTGCTTCCTGCGGGACTAACACATAAGCTGACAGCGGACTTTGAATACGATGGCTACTTTTTACCGAAGGGCGCCATGGTGATTCCAGCTGTGTGGTGCGTAACAATGGACCAGGCTGCCCCATTCAATGCTGACGTTCGCCAGGGACATGGTAATGGATTCGAAGCTGTACACGAACCCGACCGCTTTCAATCCAGACCGTTTCATGGGGCCACAGCCGGAGATGGATCCGCGTAATATCATATTTGGTTTCGGCCGGCGCATTTGTCCTGGTCGGCTGCTCGCTCAGTCATCGGTCTTCTTGACTGTGGCCAAGACGCTGGCGGTGTTTGACATTGCAAAGGCGCTTGATGCGAAGGGCAATGTCATTGAACCAGACACGCAAATGGTGGCCGGACTAGTCAGCCATCCGGCACCTTTTGAGGCGCGAATTGTGCCTCGTAGTGATAGGCATGCTGAGCTGATCTTGGAAGTTGAAAAGACGCATCCGGCCAAAGAGAGCAGTGCGAAAGAATTGGCGACTATGACTTCGTGGTAGATTGGTGGCGGTCGGCTTCTAGACATTCCTCATAGAACATTTCGTAATGTCGGTCAAGTTCAGGTCGCATCCCCATCTCACGTCAGTGAGGTGTTCCTGAGGTATTGCCAGACAGCTTGGCGTGGATGTCGCGAAGTCAGTGAAGGCGTTGACGCGTAGAGGATGGAAGGAGGGAGGAGATGGTGACGCGAGGTGGAACGTCGCGCCCCGCGCGGCTTGGCGTGGTCGATGAGCTCTAACTTAGAGTCCATCCATCTCTCATACCACTTCCTCTTCTGTCGCTGTTCGATCGACCACACGATCATGGACCAGTCTCGAGCCATCAACGCGCTGGCGCCCTTTGTGGCACTGGCCAAATCCGCCAACTCACCACGAGCAGCCGCCGACCTGGTGCAACAGGCGACATCAGCACCAAACACCTACGTCTTCGCCGAGCTGCTGCAACAGCCCAACATTCGCGCTCTGGCCGACAATGAGCAGTTCGCCCCTACCCTCACGCTCCTCCAGACCTTTGCTTGGGGCACGTGGGAAACATACAAGTGTAGGCATAATCAGAACAACGCATCCCAGATCCCAACTGACACAGCAATAGCCACTTCTGGCCTTCCGGCACTCTCTGATGCTCAAGCGCTGAAGTTGCGCCTGCTCTCACTCCTCAGCTTTGCCGCCGAAAAGGGCAATGCCTCGACACTCAACTATGCCTCGCTCTGCTCCCGCCTCGATCTCTCCTCGACTGTCGACCTGGAGCACCTCGTTACCCAGGCCATCTACAGCAATCTCATTACTGCTACCCTGAACCCAGCCGCTCAGACTGTTGTCATCACCTCAGTAGCACCCCTCCGAGACATTGCCCCAGGAAGCATTCAGACTATGGTGTCAGAATTGGCCGCTTGGAGTGGACGTTGCGATGCCGTGCTCGAACAGCTGGAAGCGGAGATTCGGAAGGTCAAGGCGGATGCAGAGAAGCGCGCCAAGAGAGAGTCAAAGGCAGACAAGCAGTTCAAAGCCGTCACCGAACAAGCTGAGAAGGGTGGAAAGAGCGACGGAGGCATCATGGGCTCTCGACCAGGCCCCAATACCCGAGGCGCCAATAAGCGTGATCAGGCAGACGAGGACGAAGACTACGATGATGCCATGGACCTCGATGATGGCGGCCGTGCAGCTGGAGGCAAAAAGAGGAGTGGTGGTATATTGGGAAAGCTGACGGGCAAGGGATCCAAATAGTAGGAGGCATCCTTCGCGTGCTGGACTTTTACCAATATCTGATCACACCACCTCTGCCAAAGTTGCCAGGAATTATTCGGAAAGAAGGAACGCTTTAACCTAACAGATGGCCATCCGCGGCGCTGGCTGCGAACATTTCCATGACGAGACACCCTCCACACACTGCCAGATTTTGTCGCACACAGGTGTGACAAATCACCCAACAGGCGGGAATATGGCAGACTATAGGCGCTACCAACTCCTCGAAAGGCTACGATCCGGCTATGAGTGCCGACTTCAGCCCTTGGAGCACGCAGGCTGCAGAAGGAGCAAGCCATGACGGCAGTATCAATCACAGCCGCAGACGACATCACGTAGCATGAATGAATGATTGTATGAGAAGACATACGACTGCTCCGAAGCCGCCTGGATCCCGCGCTTTCCTAGCGAGGACAGTAAAAGACGCGTGGAATGCAGTTGCCGGGTTCTGAAGCCACGAGTGACCACATCAGTCTGCCAGGTACCCGCATTGAGGCCTTGGCGATCCTTCTGGTGCAACCTTTTTCTCGTGTTGCCATCCAGATTGCAATGAAAATGGTTCAGCTCAGCTTGCTGGCTATTAATACAGCGTAGGCGAGCATCCAGGCAAGTAGATACAGGTATAAGTTTATATGGTAGTCAACGCCTTTTTTGCTTTGCACCATTACCTCGAAGCTACTTCCGATCCATGATGCACTTCTCGACGATCTCCTCCACAGCACTTGTCACTTTTCTTTCCATCACTTCATCATCTGCACAGCAGCATTTTCAAATCTTTCCATTCCAAGCTGAAGATATCAGTGCCCCTGCGGAATCGCACTCTTTGAAGTTCAATATTTCTCGTCCAGGCGCCGTGCCTCAGCAGGGCGGCGATGGAACTCATACTTGCGAGATAGCATGGTAAGTCAAGCACACCCGAGAAGACTTCCCTTCCTTGACGAAAGAACTCCCGAGAAATGAGATTAACATTGACGAACAGGAACGGCTGTGATGCTCCAATTTGCTACCAACTTTGCACGTCTGTCTTCGAGTTGGGCTACCACAATTCAGATTACTGGGCTCGTGTTACGCCGGGAAGTGAGAAGAAGAAGGCGGGGGACCTTTCGATCGTATGTTCTTCAACGATTCGTGTGTTGATCTACATGACTAATTTGTGTAAAGGACATTCTTGAATACTACTCTTACCGCAACAGCGTGGTACAGAATGCAACATTCACGATCAAAGATGGCGAAACGCCAGACTATGCTTGCGAACAAGGAGATAGCCGAAAGTCGTGTGCGCTGAACAGTGAAGAGAACCCTGTGCAGACCGAGGTGGAGGTACTGGGCTACGGAATCTATCCTGTGAGCAGTGTTGTGGAAGTTTGTGGTGAGTCGTAGACAAGATTTCGCACAACTGGCTTTAGACCTCAGCTACATGCCAAGTCGCATCGAGTACCTCAAAGGCTCTTTTGCACTATATTAGATATATAAGTATTGCAGTACATTGGTATCACCAAGTCGTGGTCGTAATTCGTAAAGCTCATCCAATATCGACTCGTCTTCAATGCTCGACTTCGACTTGTGGTGGAGTAGAAGTCTTCTTGGAATGTTCCTTCTCCGATTCATCCTCTTCCCGGAAGACAGGTTGTCCATGATGGACGTGTGGGCTGCCGCGACCAGTGATGTCTTTGAAGATAGCTTTGACAGTTCTGACGCTGGTCTTTCGGCCTTCCCACAGAGGATACAATCCCACGCAGAACGAGCTGCAGAAGAGCCAAAGAATTCCGACGACGACCCAGCCAGTAAAGAATTTCTTGGAGAAAATGTATGAGCTTCCGTACATGGGCATTGGCCACAGGATGAGGAAAGATAAAGTCATGGCGACTGTCAGCCAGCGAGCGATTTTGCTGGCGCGGAGCAGTTTCGATTGCTCTGCGGCTTCCTCTTCTTGACGTTTGCTTTGTTCCCCTGGGATCATTTCGAGGTCAACCTGGGCGGCGGCTGCAAGATCTGAATCGTCGCCTTTGCGGATTTGAGCCATGCTGACCCAGTCGTATGCTGGTGTGCGGAACACGAGGGAGAGGATGGGCACGAAGATCGCGGGAGCGAGAAGTGACACTACGTTGCCGACCAGCATTGGGTAGTTTGAGCCGGTAGTCGTCACGCTCAATTCTCCATATTGCACTTTAGCCTGGACTAGCCAGCCAGTCACGGAGCAGCAAAGTGCCAGTGGCGGAGCAAAGGTCGCGGCTGTCCAGCTTTGTCTGCTCCAGAGGAGTGTGAGAGTCGATGGCAGGACTGCTCCACTGATGATGACGCCCATCAGGAGGTAGAGATAGCCCATTGAAATTCCAGCGTAGTGCAGGCCAGTGGAGAAAGCGGCCATGCAGAGCGCATAGACAGCACAGCTCGTGTGAGACATGTAGATCAGTCGTCTGCCGCTCGCATTTGGGTTGATGTATGTCTTGTAAATATCGTATGTCCAGATCGAAGACACGGCAATCAGCTCCGCCGACATAGCAGATGTCACGGCCATGAAGATCAGAAGAAGGGTCGCTGCGGCTCCTCCTGAACCGAGAAGAGCGACGGCTGCGTTTGGGAGGACCAACCCCGCGCTGACATCTGCTGGATCCATGCGGTTGGGGTATGTCGGGAAGACTGGGTTGTTCTCGAGAGCAAGGGCTGACAGACCCATTGTGGTGGCCGCTAGCCATGGAATTGCGAACCAAGACAGACCGCCGGCAATGTAGCCTGGGAGAGCATGGACAGGCGAGGCTGCGATGGCCTTGTTGTAGTAGCCGTTGTCCATGAACACCGTGCCTACATGATATTAGTGCGTGATCGATGACCTTCGTGGAAATTCGCGGCTTACCGAAATTGCCAACAATGTTGATCACGAAGAAGATGACCCCCCCCTTGGACCTCATGGTCAGGTAAGATCCGCCGGCATTGCCTTCCACAGGGTGTCGCTCAGTGGCCTCCATCAGGAGATCATATACAGCGCTTGGGCTTCCAAGTTGAGATCCTGTGGCATAAGCCGTGAAGGCAAAGGTCAAGATGATGACCAAAATCACCACAGTGTGAATGTAATCTGTCAAGAAGGTCGCTTTGATTCCTCCGAACATGGTGTAGAGCACCACGCCCACTGGGAGAAGGAAGCAGCCAGCGGCCGTAGACACGCCGCAGAGAGAAGTAGCAACAGCTGAGCCTCCGGTCAGAAGCATTGCCGTTACCAGGATGTTGGTCATCAGGCCGAAAACAATGTAGACGCCGTGAGTGACAGGTCCATACCTGGCACGAATGGCTTCGAGGAAAGTGTGAGCATTCGGTGCTTTGCGTTTAAGCTCGATGGCAATCGTGGCGAACAAAATGATCTGGACAGTAGCACCAGAGGCGTACCAGAATGGCCCGCTGACACCATACTGATATGCGATCGAGGAAGACTGCAAAAGTGTTGCTGCCCATGTCCAGGATGAAACTACGGCGGAGGAGACGAGACCAGATTTGACGGTTCGACCTGCAGTGCTGAACACTTCCGAAGTCTGAAGTTCGTTATTGTAGCGCTTGAGGACAAAGGTCGTGAGCATCATTCCAAAGCTGCAGATCCATATTAGTGATTTGGTTAAATGCCTAGTCTGCCGTCATGACTACTTACGCAAAGAGGAATCCAAGACCAATGATTACTCCATAGCCAGTAGCTTGGCTAAGCGGCGGGCTTGTCGCCATGGCTGCTTGTTCCGTTGATCAGCAACGATGTCTGTGTGAGACTATCAGATTATTCAAGGATGTGGAGGGAGCGAAGAAGACTGCTTATGAGTCTTATATCGTTCGATGCCAGTCGTCAACATGGCGTCCATTCTGTCCCTCCATACTTATCTGCGTGCCTACGCCCAATAAGACCAACCATGTACTGAGCTCGAGATTTTTTGCAGGGGATCTAAGTCGCGGCCGCGGGCAGCGGCCAGTGGCAGGTCATTGGAGCAAGACCATCTCTTACTCGATGGGATTGCCTTGCGATAAGGCAACACGGATCCCAGGAAAAGCTCGTGCTACCATGTTGTTGCAATCAGCTTGACAACTGATAAGGAGTGTCTTGGCATCGTAGTTCTAGTAGGCGAATAAGAATCGCGGGACAGATCTGTGGAGCTGTCCTATCTCTTCTGTGGCTTCTGCAGGGCACCTTGACATGCTTTGACATGGCGTTTCCCCATTGTCTCTCTGTTCGGTGAAGTGCGGGATTGTGGGAGGGACATGGTCAGGAGATGTCCAGAATTCTTGACTAAGCCGTACAGCCGGGAAAATGCGACTCGGACCGCGCCTAAAATGCCAGACTCGAACACCATAATTGTCCCGCCGAATGTCCAGCTCCGTCACGAGCTCGTCAAGTGGGCTGTTGTCAAAATGTAGTCTCAGCAATCACGGCTGAACTGTTCAGCAACAAAAAGTTAGGTTCCTCACCGCAAAGCATTGCCTCCTCATTCACTCCTCCGAGTAAACCTCATCCTCAAACAGTCCACAAGATCCTTGGAAATTGTTAAAAATGGGTGCGGAGGTGCGTTGCTGTGGCCATTGCGCGGGGTCCACGAAACCACCAAGGTCCTCATCCTAGGATTAACGGATGCTAACAAGAACCGCAGAACCTGTCCTTTGTCCTCGAGAAGGCCGGGAGTGTCAAGTTCGAAGACCGTCCTGTACCTCAGCTGAAATCGCCCTACGATGTCATTGTTAACACGAAATTCACTGGGATCTGCGGCAGCGATGTCCATTATTGGGTTCATGGCGCCATCGGCCATTTTGTCGTAAAAGATCCAATGGTCTTGGGCCATGAGAGCAGCGGTGTTGTCACACAGGTGGGCGAGGGTGTGAAGAGCTTGAAAGTTGGCGACCGAGTCGCAATGGAGCCTGGTGTTCCCTGCCGAAGATGTGTGAGATGCAGAGAAGGAAAGTACAACCTGTGCCCGGACATGGCATTTGCTGCTACTCCGCCGTTCGACGGCACGCTGGCAAAATACTATGCACTACCGGAGGACTTCTGCTATAAGCTGCCAGAGAGTGTGTCACTCGAGGAAGGAGCATTGATGGAGCCATTGGCAGTTGGTGTGCACATCTCGAAACAAGGGCAGGTGAAACCGGGTGACAGTGTTGTCGTGTTTGGCGCAGGACCTGTCGGTCTCCTATGCATGGCTGTAGCCAAGGCTTTTGGGGCTTCCAAGATCGTCGCCGTTGACATCAATGCTGAGCGTCTCGACTTCGCAAAGAAATACGCTGCGACACATGGTGTGCTCTCACAGAAGGAGTCTGCAGAGGATGCTGCACGACGCATTATTGCTGATGCCGAACTCGGACCTGGTGCGGACGTTGTCCTTGACGCGAGTGGAGCTGAGCCAGCCATCCAGACGTCAATTCACACTCTGCGAGTAGGTGGAAACTACGTGCAAGGTGGCATGGGTAAGAGCGATATTGTGTTTCCAATCGCTGCGATGTGCTCCAAGGAGCTTAACGTCAAGGGGTCTTTCAGATACTCCGCCGGTGATTACCAGCTAGCCCTGCAGCTGATCGAGAGCGGGCGAGTGGATGTCAAGTCTCTCATCACTGGAAAGGTGAAATTCAGGGACGCAGAGAAGGCTTTTGGAGATGTCAAGGCCGCGAAGGGTATCAAGACGCTGATCGAGGGCGTCGAAGAGTAGGCAGAAGTTGTTGGAGATCGCCAGTAGAAGGCCAGACCAGCACAAGCTTGCGAGCTGGGAAAAATCTCCGAGAGTATACCAAGCGGATAGGAGAGAGCCTCCTCGGCACGAGAAGAGCGAAACGGCTGTCTGAGTTTCTTCTGGAGGCGCTGACCAGAAAGAAATCTGGAGCAAGCATGCGTGTAACGTGTAACCCAAGGCTGGAGTCTCGAAGTACATAGAACGCCCTGCACGTCCCAAACAGGTGTGCTGGAACATCGACAATGTTTCCACTCTCACTGGCGCGTCGCCTATGCGGGATGTCAAGATAGAAGTACAGTCGTCTTGTATTCTCAGGTTTGGCGTGGAAAGTGCAATGATTGGCGGAGCTCACTCCTTCCATCTGCATCTCTGCTCTAACTAGTTAGCGTCCTTGCAACCTGAAACATCACCACACGCCGTTTCGAAGTGCTCTCACGAACGCATCTCTCTGCTGCCACGAACTGCCGCGACGCCGCTCCCGACGCGTCTCTGCCCATCGCCGTCGGTTTGACAAGAGCAGATGAGCGCTGACTTGCCCTGGCGCAGCGGCGTCAACAAGGAGCGCCCTTGCGAAACACCACCGAAGCTGGAGATGCTTTGTGCAACATGGCGATCTGGTGTGTCTGCTGATTGCGCTGCTCGTTGTGCACGACTGGCTGTGCGTGACTGCATGGCGGCCGAGCTGCAGTAAGGTGTACTCATTGTATTTGGGCTAGGGCCGCCAAGTTGGCCTTCACCAGTGACTCTGTGGCGAGAAAGGGCACCGTAACGGCATTCACGGGCATGAGCGTGCAGGCACTGGGAATGTATTGTTTACTTTTCTTTTAGATGAGCGCCGGCACCTTGCAGATGGTCTATGTTACTTCTGTTCTTCTGATTCACTGCTTCGTTAGGTGTTGAAGTTGTTCTTGTTGATATCTTCTCTCCTCGTCTGCTTCCTTCGTTCATGAGCAGCGTATGTTCTAATAGACAAGCACAATGCAACACTTTGGCACAGCCATGCCGCCCGCATCACCATTGCCAGACTCGACCGCGCTGGAATCTGGGATCGTCGAGGACGCGCGACCTTCGCGATTGTCACGCGTACAAGACAATGTTCGCCTTCTGCTTCGAACTTCAGTATTTGGATCAGTGGCGAGCTCACCAACATCACCAATACACCCTCAATCAGCAGGAGGAGCTGCGAACAGGTCACCTGCTGAAGCCAACCTCCAGCCCATTCAACCAGATGCCCCTCTCCGCTCGCATCCACCATCGCCAGTTCCCCGATCTCCACGGCATCACCCAGCACACACTCGCTTTCCTGTGAGGGCCTCGACTCCAAGACCAGAAGTCTTGCCCAGCCCACCAAATTCAGCATCAACGATTAGCACGACGAGCTCGAGGGATTTGAATAATTTCCCCTGCCCACCATCGAGTTACCAACGCAATGTACAACAAATGGCACATCAATCAGCTCTGTTCAATAGCCGAGCGGTTGAGGCACTCAACCATCCAGACTTGAGCGATCCTTCCATTACGGACTTGTCGCAGCAGAAGTCTCACCATAGAAGGCACCATGGAGCATGGACAAGACATCGGACCGGCTCGCATGGCTCGAGAGGATCACACAGCAGGCACAAACGTAGAGCACATCGTGCAGTCGGGCCGCTTGGTCTGTTGTGCTTCATGGCGGCAGTCTTGCTCGCCGCTCTTATTGCCACTTGTAAGTATCTCTCATCACTGTCAAACATTAGCGGCAGCTAACCAAAAGAGTAGATGTTGCTCTGGCCATGACTGTCGACGGAGTGACGATGACTTTCCATGTCCTTTTCATTCTGGGCATTCTATTGGCTACCATTGTCTTCTCCCACGCTCTCATCCGCTTCTTCATGTACAGCAAGCGGCGGAACAAGGATCTGCCTACGTTCGTGAGGGTGACACGACACGGCCACCAGCGAAGACACCGGAACCATCGCGATCACCTCCATCCACATGTCCGACGTATTCCAACTGTGGGGGACGATGCGGAGGAGACTTTTGTTCCGCCCATGCCAATTGAAGTTCATGTGCCAAGCGATGAAGTTCGTCCCGATCCAATCGTGGCCAATACAGCAGCGGCGACGCAGACGCCTGACGAGTGGGACAAAGATGTTCCAAAGATGGCGAATCCACCTCCAGCTTACGGTCGTTGGAGAGGAAGCGTACGGGCCAATCCGGACTTGCTTCATTGGGCTCCTTCTCCAATCAGTCCAGAAACTCCCATTTTGCCTTCGCCCACATACGAAGAAGCCATGGCTGCTGTCGAAATTTCTTTCCCGAGTAATCCGCCCAGCTATATGACCAGGGAAAGTCCAGCCCGGCAGAGAGAGCTGATGGAGGCGCGAGCTGGGCTCGCGCATTCGCCTGTAGTCGAGCCAGAAATGTTCGAGGTACGCGGAAGTAATAGTCCTGGTGCAGGCGCCGGACGTCGAGTTGGCGAAGCCTTGTAGAGTAGAGATACCCAGTACGCCGGGCTCGGAGGAGATGGCCGTCCAGAGTCTGTCGCTTGAGCTGTAAACATAGAGACAAACCCGCGGTGCGGATGTCCAGTAATGCATGTTGTCCATCGCGTCTTCCAGCATCAACTTCCATCCATTGGTGATTCATTCGAGCTCTTCACGGCTTTCCATTCGGTTGTATATGTCTTCCCTTATTGTCTCTTCCTTCCGTAGATGGCACGCCCTTGGAATCTTTATCCCACCACTCGCGCCAAAACTTCTCATCTTGCTTCCTCTTTGCTTCCTTCACCTCGCGCTCTTTCCGTCTCTCATCCATTGTCGCAAACCATTCTTCTCGAGCCGCGTCCTGTTCGGCTTGTGTGGCGTAGAGCATCATGCAGTTGTTCATGGCTTTTTGCTCTTTGCGGCACATGATGGTCGCTGTGAAGGTTCGGGAGGTGCAGCATGCTGCGAATTCTGAAAAAGAAGCATCACATGTCAGTAAAATGCACTCTGGGTGGCCATTGCAATGCAGGTTCGCAAATACCTCTCACTTCATCGGCGCATTTTTGGCGGACTCGTTTGTGATATAGCTCGCGGACTTGGGACTCTTGAGATGCGGAGAGTGGGAGCGGTGAGCGCGATGGATTCGGGACGATTGGTTTTCTCGTTGAGGACGATGTGGGCGGGTTTGATGACATTACTGCGGCCATGACAAGTCAATGCTATGCCTGTGACAGAGTGATGCTTATGGAGTTCACATGGACGGGAGTCCGGTGGGTCCGAGCTTTGACTTCCCGCACTCATGAACTCATGACGGCAGGAACAATTATAGAACCACGAAGCTCATGCTAGTATTGAATACAGACGAAGCAGAGAGTCAACAAGATGGTTTTCTTCGTGCGCTCTCTTAGAGTTGACCTCGTATTTCACGCCTGTTTGAAGTCGCTATACGAAGTAACATTTCCTGCTTTCAAAGCTCCTCTTAATTGTCGGACTTCACGATCTAATCCACATGCTCTGCTCGAGTTGGCCCCTCGCTGCACGATACCAGTGCCAATGGCAAACGACAGTGTTGCCCCAGTGCTACCGCCACATCAATTCTTGGCCAGTCGGCGCCTGCTGTCACTCTTCTGGTCACATCGTTTCCACATCATTTGCGGGCCTTTCGGATCACTACGCAGGTTGGCAGGTTCAAGTCTTTGCGCACTGCCGTTATCTTCAGCATTGTCTGGAAATGATCTACGATGCAAGCATCCGGAAGTGGAACGTGACCAGCTGAAGGCAACGTGAGAAGGAACAGAGACGGCAAAGACTGAATTGGGTATCAAGCTGGTTCATTCAGTCACTAAGCCGGCTCCTACCAGCAGCATGTTACGCTGCCAGTATCCCGGAACGCCGCGCCATTGAAATGCATCGAGTATCCTGCCTGTCACCCTGTATCAAATGCTTTTGGTCGTGATAATTCAGACATTTACTCGTCATCCTCATCCTCCTCCTCAGCCTCGACGGTGGTCTGGGCGATACGGTCCAGATCACGCTGGCCAGACTGGGTGATGCGGCGGCCACCCTTCTCCTCATCCTGCTCGAGGACACCAATCTTCTCGAGAGCCTGCATGACCTTGCGGTCAACGGCACCGGAGGCGTCGACGTGGTGCGATGGGCGCGAGCCACGGTTCTTGGTGCCACCGTGAACCTTCCTGAGGCGGCCGACACCGACAGTCTTGCGCATGTAGATGTGGCGGGCGATAGCAGCAGAGCGGATGTAGAACCTACGTCCAAGTCAGATCATGTTGTAAATGCGCATGGCGAAACTAAAATGCTTACCAGTCCTGGCTCTGAGGTGGGAGCTCCTTTGCGTGGGAGGTCTTGACAGTATCGGTCCAACCTGTAGACTGTGTCAGTATTTCTGCTGACACTTGTCCCCCGTTCCTCACGGGATTCAGGTTTCTCTGATATCATTGTGCCAATGCGATTCCATCTCTTATTTTTTCTATGGCGGATCACTCCGTACCTGGGATTGGGAGCTTGCCCTGACGCTTCAAGAAAGCAGCGTAGGCATCGATGAACTTGTCGGCAGGGACATCGCGAACGGAAACACCAGGCATCTTGACGGTAGTGGCGAGCGAGGCTCTTGTGGTCGATCGGCGAAGAAGAGCGTTGGGTGGTGTTTGTGCGGTGCTGGATCAAGCCGTGGGTTGACGGATATGCGAAATGTGAGAGTGGATTCGTGCCAAGGAGAAATTTGCGATTGCTGCCTCAGGCCATAATCTCAGTCGCCAGAACTTGGGTCAGTTTGGCGCTCATCAGCCCAGCACAACTCCTCACCAGAACTCGCCATGTTGCATTGAGCGGTGAGACGGCGCATCCTTACGGACGTCCTGCGCAGTCCTCCAAACCCGGTTCTTGACCATGGTGCTGGTCAGTTGCTGGCGTTGCTCCGCGACGATGAGGTCACACGCAACGCCGTTGCTTTCATCACGTCTTTCGGTTTCGCCAGAGCGCGATGTTCTGTCCACCCGCAGGCCCTCCACGACACGTTTTCATACTTCGTGACTTTCGGTATGGTGGCGCATTATGATTGACGACCTCTAGGAAGCTTCTACCCGTCTGGTCACGCATCAAATAGGCAGTCGGACCTCCGCACGACGGCAACGAGCGCTCGCATCTCCAAGCTGGCGAGCAGGTGCTATCAGCAGCAAGCCCTATTGGTTCTTCCGAAAACTGCATACTCAAGCGTTCCTTGACTTTGCCTACACCGACTAGTCACGTACTGACTTCAGCCTTATAAGCCCGCCGGGGCCTGACTCGCATCCGCTAGCCCTGCAGAACGACTCCAGACAGTCCATGGCCCCAGCAACGTTGGAGAGACTGTTCACGCCTGCACTGCTTGTCACAGCTGCGGCCGGGATAGCTGCACTCACGTGGGTCGTCAGAAAGCTGCCTGCATTTCAAGAAATCAAAGACGGTACGTCCTGCTTCCCGTCTTCGCCCGTGCTCCCCAATGCTCACAGAACTTCCAGCTGCCTCGACAGATCCTGGCCTGCTCAAAGCGCGGACGAAATACAGGTCGTATTCAACGCCCTCCGGCCATGTATATCCTCGAATACGAACCTTTTACAATGAACATACGCAGGCGAGCAAGTTGCCAGCCGATTTGCCACTTATTGTTTTGATCCATGGTCTCGGAGGCTCGGCCGCTCAATTCGCTCCTTTGCTGAATTCCCTTACTCAGATTGCGCCATGCATGGCCATCGATCTCCCGGGCTGCGGCCTGTCCGACTTCAAGCCAGATGATATCGAAGCCTACACCACTACTGCATTCGCTGAGCTGCTTCATGTGGCCATCGAAGAACATCGCAACAAGGAGGCCAATCAGAAAGTCGTGCTGATCGGCCACAGCATGGGCTGCTCGATCGCAGCCTTGCTAGCCTCCTCCAGCTCACCTCTGTACCATCTTTGCGCTGACAGCATCGTCTCATTGATCGCAGTATGCCCACGCTCCCGGGGAGTATCTGAAGAGGAGATGCGAGGCATTCGGCGTGTCAGCTACCTGCCCTCGTTTGTTTTTGATCTCCTTCGGATGGCGGACCGTCGAGGTGGTGTCGACAGCCTCTCGGTAACACGCGTCATTGGCAAGGAAGCTGATCTCGAGACCAAAAAGCTGCAGCTTCGCTACAATCAACAGGCAAGATCCTCGGCGTTTCAAAGAATAACGTCGGCGCTGGCTAGGCAAGAGACTAGGGCGACCGAGGACGGGCATGAGAGTATTCTCGGGCGGAGGGTGTGGAACGGAATTCGAGTGCCGCTGCTTCTCGTGGCAGGAGAAGACGACAAGCTGGCTCCGCCTGCAGAGGTTGAGCAGATCCAGGAATGGCTGACAACAGTTCGGCATGATTCTGTGACCAATCCACCTGTCTCTGCAAACGGAGCGATCGCCCCGCACCTGCCCGCGGTCGCTGCGGATGCGGCAATGGCCACAGAGCAGCTGAGTCGATCCGACACGATTACCGCGCTGCCGGAGCGAGAGTCAGCCTCTGCGGATGGCGTGCAGCACGAAGAGGCGTCTACCAAACACTCGATCCCGCTTAAGACGTGCATTTTCGCAGCACCGGCTTCACATGGACTGCTCTACTCAACCACGAATGTACGCATTTTGTCAGGCTATATTGAGAACTTCTTGGCTCGACACGTGGACGAGCGGCTCTCGCCTGGCTGGCAACTTCGACATCTCTCAACTTCTGGCAAGTGGGATGTGAAAAATCTTAAAAAATGGCAAGCCGTTGCGGCCTGCTCCGATCCAATCGCTGAGACTTTTCGCGCAATGAAGACTATGCGCGAAGTCGACGACGAGCACAGCCCGCCTGCATTTGTCAAGAAATACAGCTGGAAGGTGATTCCAAACGGTGTTGCAATGGTTGTTGATATCAGTCTTGATGCTCCGGTATATGACAAAGCAGGGCTCGAGAATGGTGATGTCGAGTACCATAAGTTTCCAACAGTGAGCAAACAGCCTCCGGGAGCGGACGAGGTCGAGCAATTCATTGCACTTATCGATACGCTCAGGCAATCATCGAAACTACAGGACGCTAAGGAGGGCGTGCCTCGACCGACTATTGGTGTACATTGTCACTATGGTTTCAACCGAACAGGTAAGAAGTAAAATTCGCTGACAGTAGCTTCAATGACATCGAGTCTGACAATATACAGGGTTTTTGATCATTTGCTACCTCGTGGAACGACTCGGGTGGGACCTCGAAGACGCTCTCGACGAATTCTCAAAGAAACGGGAACCAGGTGTCAAGCACGATCACTTTGTTAACGAGCTGTATATAAGATACAAGGCTGGGAAACTAGAAAGGAGAGGAACTATCATCCATTGAAATAATCCCCACTCGCGCATTGCCAAGGAATATCACTGCTGTTACACCGTCGGGTTTCACTATTCTCCCGCTTTGCAGCCTAAGTTATGGTACGAGCCTGGAAGGAATTAGGGCTCCACTGTTCCTTCCGCATGTACTCCACTTCGGACACTCAGCTTCTCAAGCTATAAGTTTCTCAACTGCCACTTACTTGCTTCCGACATCTTCAGAAACTTTAGCAGGATCAGCAATCTCAATACCTCAACATGTCTGACTCTGACTTTATACTCTACGATCTTCCCAGTAGAGAGCCCTGTCGCAGCTGGTCAGGCAATGCGTTGAAAGGTACGTCTCAAACGACGCAGAGTATCACCCTCTCTCGAATAGCGTAGTAATGGCGAACGACTTCCAGCTCGTACTGTGCTCAACTACAAGAACATCCTATTCCGCACAGAATGGATCCCATATGTTCGTCTGCAAGAGACTCTCGCCGCCACCGGCGTGAAACCCAACCCGCAACCCAACTGGTCTAACTACTCAATCCCCACTGTCCGCTTTCCTGATGGAACGGTGGTCATGGACTCGGAGAAGATCATCCCCAAGATCGAAGAGCTCTACCCTTCGCCATCTCTCCACCTCGATCGCACGGATATTATTGATGCGGTGAAAGCCGCGTCAGGGAAAGTGTTTTACCCATTAATGTCTTGGTTCTTTCCAAAAGTCCAGTCGAGGATCCTTGTCGAGGAGGATATTGCTTGGTTTGAGGAAGATCGTGGAAGAAGATTTGGGATGAGTATGGCTGATCTGGAGAAGTCGAAGAGTGAGGAGGACTGTTTCGAAGAGGCGAAGCCTGGGCTTGAAATGATGGAAAAGCTGCTGACGGATTTCAAGAAGGATGATGGGCCTTGGATTATGGGCAAGGAGATGTGTTTTGGGGACCTTTTGCTTGTGGGAACGGTAAGGATGATGGAAATGTTGGGGAAGGATGAGAAGGAGAAGTTTCTCAGCAAAGTTAAGGGGCTGAGGGAGTTGTATGATGCGGGAAAGAAGTATGCTCTTACGGAAAATAGCGATGAATAGCACGGCTGGCTCTGGAAGTATTGCACATTAGTTTGCGGCCCAGTCACATCGTATGGTAGTAAATGCACAAACATCGTTATGTTGTTACCGATCACCATGTTCAAGGTGCCCGTTCCACACTATGCGTGCAGTCTTGTAAACGTACAATTGTACCCCGGCTCCGGGCCTAAATTGGGGAGCTCGACAACATCACTCCGCCAGTGATACATATTGTCAGGACTCAGTCGGAATCCAGCACACTGGAATTCGACACTTTCCAACTGAGAGCTCGGCGGTTGCTTTGCTGTGAAAAGTTTCTGGAATTGCCAGAATAATGTTCCAGTCACCATGTCGCTCGGGTCTTCTCGTGTTGGACCAATGAGTTGCAGTGTTCGTAAATTAGCTGGTAAACATTTCAAAACTTTATGCTGGAAGTCAATAAAAGCACTTCCTCCGACCATTGCTCGTGGGGTTACGGCAAGGTGCTTGAGATTCACCATTTCTTGTAAGTTTCCGAGCGGTTCCTCGCGTGCTTCGTGTGTTGATGACACGCCCCAAATGTCTGGATAATGGCAAAAGTTATTGCGCGTGTCTAATCTGACGGATTCGAGCCGTGTGCCAAAAGTATTGAGTGATGCAGCGAGGGATGCAAAATCGAGATTGTACTGCTGTACGGCCCACTGCAGATCGATCTCAATCAGATTCGGGGCTCGTTGTAGTAGAATTGCAAGCATGACATTGTCCATTTTGCAATCTTGTAGTTTTACGCTCTTGAGTCCAGTCCACGGGTGGTCTATTAGGTGTCAGCTGGCTTTCTCGTAGTAATGACGATATTCAATTCCTCGCCAACAGTCGCCATTTGAATCGTCATTCGAACGCCATACCTGGTGTGCCTGGCTCTCGTGCGCACAGCAGCCTACTACAACTTATACGCCAAGCGCTGAAGCTTTCCAAGTTCGGCATTAAGAGCATTCGCGTTACGAAAGTGCAGCCGAACGTTCCAGAGTGTCTTTCGAGCCGTATGGCAAATTTCTTGATATTCAGATACCGCTTGTGGGATTCGGAAGTCCACTTGAAGACAGGGAGCACGTCAAGAAGGAAGTAAATCGACCTTGCCCGCAAGAATTCTTCTTGTTGCGTGACTTCATTGAAGCAGGGCACCGAAACCTCAAGGACTTCAATGTTATCACACAATAGAACCAGGGTAGTAAGCACAACATCAGCTCGGCCACTCTCCAGCTCCGCTCCTATGGCTGAGCCAAGGCCCATGGGATAGCACGAACTTGTCCTGCGCAGTCCTCTTGCATATTGTAGACACTGCGCATCCAAGCTTTGAGGCGCCCGGTCGATTGGACTGTCAATGCCTCGAGAGATATGTTCCCACTTGTCGATGACAATTTCTTGGACGCTGTTTGCGCAGACGGAGTCCTTCGCTAGAGTTTTGATAAAGGTCCTGGCATTTGAGATGCGAGTGCCGGGGAATGTATGGTACAGAATTGGCTTCACGATGCGGTTCAGAGCTTTACAGGTCCTGCTGAGAGATGCTAATGTGGCCAGATGGAGTTTAACCGCCTTGTCAGACTCGCTGAGTCTGCTAAAATTGGGCTCTCGCTGCTCGCCAATGATCACTGCGGATGGCAGTTGCAGGCAATCGATGATGACAGCCAGAATCTCCTCTGGGAGATGGAATCTTGGGGATGCCATATGCACCGCCCGGTGCCTACTTGTTGGTGCTTCTGCACCGGACAGGCAGGAAACTTATTTATTGGTTGAATGTTTGGTTCGTACCAGCCCGACGAGTAGGAATACGCCAGTGGTCGTGTCGTAAGGGCGCCACGTTACCAAAGCTACGGCACTGTGCAGGAGAGATGCCTGGAAGATGCTTTCCAGGATGATCTTGGCTTAGGGTTGTGCCGCTTGGAAGCCGAGGTGCATCTCGCATCGAAGGCACCGGACGGGATGAAGTGTTGGAGCCATTTGGTTGGTCTGGCAAGCCTGTTCCAAGAATGCCACTATAGCAGGTCACCATGTGCACTGTCACTTCCAATCTGGCGGATAGTCTGCCGTCTACTTTCCAGAGTACTGGGTGAAGCATGAAGGCAATCCCCGACTGGGCCCTCCGCGATCGACAGAAGCCGCCGGTGGCCTAAGCCAAGAGTTCCCTCACTGCAGAAGTACCATTAAATCACCACTCTCCACACTATCAGGCAGTATGTACCATACCATTCCGATCATAACCATCTCCCATAGCTGCGTCACGGCCTCTCGCTGCGGAATCGCGACCACCGACGGTCTCATCTGATTCGACCCTGTGCTTTTGCATCGTGGATTCTCGAATCTCGTGCCCAGTTTGCACATTAATTCCATCACCTCTGCCATAAAGATACCAAAATGGCAGAGAACAAAGCAGAGCGCCGCCAACAATATTCCCGAGAGTGACAGGGATTACGCTATGTGAGATGAACTTTCCAACGGAAAAGTTCACACCATAGAACATTCCGATCGGTATCATGAAGTAGTTGGCGATTGAATGCTGGTAGCCAGCGATGACAAATGCCCAGATTGGGACCCAGATCGTGTAGATTTTGGAAACGAACTCCACTGCTCCCAGAGTCATAAAGAACGCCAGACCGACGAAAAAATTGCAACCGATACCTCGCAAGAAGTTGACCGACCACTGCACATTAACCCGTTCTTCCGCCTGGGTTGTCACGTACGCCGTAGCCTCATCCGTATTGAGTACATCGCTCCACCACGCCAGAAAGCCCGCGACGAACAACGCGCCGGCGATGTTGAGCACGTAGGTCAGGACCCAATTCTTGAGCCAATCCACTACTGTCGTCTTCCTTTGCATTGTCGTGTACGGCATTACGAAGAAGTTACTCGTCGACAGCTCCATGTTCGTCAAGGTCACCAGGACAAAACCCAATGGGAAGGTGAAGCCTGCGATGAGTGTTGCAAGGCCTGGATTGCTTGCTCGAAGACCCGGGGAGCCGGCGTTGACGATGATGTCGATCATGCCACCCAAAGAGATGAAAACCCCTCCGAAGAATGATTTGATCACATATTCGGGCCAGGTAAGGCGGGCTTTGGCGAGGCCAGCTTGTGTCACAAAGTGACTAATTTCTTGTGGAGAGAGGCCATTCGTTGGAGGAGGAGGCATTGTGAGGAACTGGGCATGAGAGCTGTCTCCAAGTAATACTGAATAACGGAAGCAATGTGGTTGGAGATGATAGCTGAAGTGAACACAAACCACCTATGAAATCAATGTGCCGGGTACGATCCGCATACCATTTCTTACCCACTTCTTCCCATCTACCGGCCTGACTTCTGCCAGATGTGGTTCGTGGAATAAGTGCTATCTTGGGCTATCGCCATTTGCCGTCCTGCGTCACCAGGGATGGAGAATTACATCACGACGGATGTTGCGGAAGACCGGATATGCGAAGGCGAGAGGACATGTCTTCAGTTCTTCATGTAAGATGCGACCAAGCGTTTCTTCGAAGCTTTTTCGATTCTACTTCGTCATCAGCGAGCGGATGGAACTTGTATCGAGGCAAACAGGAGGAGCGGCATGGTCGAGGTTATGCTCAGAACTGATTCAATGCTTTTATCGAAGCTCATGCTTCTGACGACTTAGCAGCCTTCAATGGAGTCGTTTATAGCTTCAGGATTGAATATTCGGCTCTGACTAGAGACGACATGAGGGTAGGAGGCAAGCACACGCAGCTGTCAAATGCAAAGGGCAAGGAAGGCGCTTGTCTCTGCCAAGCCAACCGTCCAGCGGGGTTGCCATTCCATCACCCTCTTGACAACACCACAGCGCCTGTCAACATCAAACGTACGATGCCGCGATAGCAGAATCCACCGAGCCATGTCCTCTGATTCTTCAGACCCGCGCTCGCCGCGCTCCATCATAGAGACCACCCGCAACATCTTCTACCTTGCAGCGTACGAGCAAATACCTCGAATGTTCAGTCGGGCTCTAGAACTGCCTCCCAAGATACTCCAGCGGTACCAGGAGCGCGATAGGCGTTACGATGCACGGCAAGGAGTTATAGGCGATCCGTATCGTGGTTTCATTGATCCTGGCTTGGCCGATGAGATTGATGAGCGGAGGCGGCAGATGGAACAACTGCATGCTAGAAGAGATGAGACTGCGGAGTAAGATCAGGTCGGAAGACGAAGCAAACAGGATAACCGCACGCTAGAAGAGATGAGACTGCGGAGTAAGATTAGGTCGGAAGAGCAATGCGTCCGAGGTGTTGAAAGACTCGAGAAGATGAGATTGAGGAGAAAACTTATGTCGGAATGGCAAGGCAACCCAACAACCCAGATGATTAACAACGAGAGATCATGAGATCGAGGAGCGAATTCATGTCGGAAATGCAATGCACGCAACATAACTCGCGGGCGGAAAACACGAGACTGTAAAGCGAAGCCAGATCGGAACGATTCCAATGGACCATACTCCTTTCCTGAAGGCCCAACTCGAGTTTCGTCTTCACTTCCAGACAATTCTCTACGATCCGACTTTACACTCTCGCGTTGGCTCTCCCAGATGTTTCGTTCCGATTCGTGTTCTCTATACACTTCCCGACAACACTTATAAACCGACTTCACGCTCTAGTATCAGCTGGTCTAGGTCTTCTGTTCCGAGTTATATATCCTCCTTGGATCCTTTGCCCTACCTCCACCTCGTGATTGGTTCTCCTCAAGCCCAGGTCCTTACTCCTAGCGCTACATGATGATCTCTTCACCCTGCTGCAAGTTTGATACAGTCTCTCAATTCTGCACAGCCTGGCGGAGAGCTATAGCACAACCTCGATGCATTCTCTCGATTCTGCACGGCGTAATAGAAAGCTACAGCGCGACTTCGAGACGTTCTCTTGATTCTGCACGAGTTGATGGAAAGCTACAGCGCGACTTCGAGACGTTCTCTCGATTCTGCACGAGTTGATGGAAAGCTACAGTGCGACTTCAATCCATTCTCTCGATTCTGCACGAGTTGATGGAAAGCTATAGTGCGACCTTAATCCATTCTCTCGATTCTGCACGGGCTGATAGAAAGCTACAGCGCGACTTCGAGACATTCTCTCGATTTTGCAAGTTCTAATAGAGAGAATGCATCACAAACTCGATGCGATCTCTCGATTCTGCACGGCCTAACGGAAAGCTGCATTGCAACCTCATGCTATCTCTCTCGATTCTGCTATGCTCGTTGATGGCTTGCAACCCTGCGAATTATGCCTTTCGGACACAGTCTTATTCTTCGCGAGCGTCAGAATCGAATATCTGTGCATCGCTGGTGGGCATTGGCGTTTCGGTCTGTCCACCGAATGTGGATGCCTTCTCCTGTTTCTCGAGCTCTTCGTATGTTTCTTCGTCGCTCTCGACGAACTCTTCTAACCCCTCCGGGTTTAGACCGTTCGGGTCGATAAAATTACTATTATCAAGCTCGGCACCCCAAAACATTATCGGTGTCTTCGCAGTATTGTTAATCCCGACCTGGGATTCACCCGCCTCGCTTGGGTTTTCCTCGAACGGCGCCTGTTCCTCGACCGGCTCCTGCTCAAATTGCTCCTGCTTAAACCGCTCCTGCTTCAGTTGCTCCTCCTCTCGCTCTTGTCTAACTTTGGCTTCACACTCGTGTAACATTGCTACGAGGTCAATCTCTAGGACTTCAACGCTTCCTTCCTCTTCACCTTCCTCTTCTTTACTGTCAACGATGCACGACGGTAAATGTCCGTGCCGGAAAAGCAAGTACCACTCTTTCGAAGTAATCGTGTTTGGGTGCTTCCGCAGGATGACCAGATCTCGCTCGACAATGGGAAAGAGAAAGGTATGCATGTCTCGATCAAAGACAATGCCAGTCTCTTTTATTGCATCTTCGCCAGACTCCGACACCAGTTCAGCAGCACTGCTAGCTTTTCTCAGCACCTCTGGGTGGCGCTAGCAGTCGTATATCCAGAAACTCTTTGTCAGCGTTGACAGCGGCGCATATTTCTCTGCCCAGTTGGAAGGAATCTTTCCACACTTTCACGCAGTCGATGTCATTCCGGAACCCCAACACTGCAAAGAATTGCTTGTCGTCGTTAACGTGCGGCTCTTCAAGAGAGTGAGGTCCAGTACAGGTCGATACCTGACGATGAGAGTAGAGCAGGCTCTTCATACGCGTAGCAGCATCTGCTGGCAGCTGCGACAAGAACCACTGAGTCTTGTCCGTCTTAGGCATCCGAAGAAAGAGGTCCGTAGCAGCAAAGGCCCGGGCATCACACGAGAGCCACGTCATTGATTGGGCCAGTCCTGTGTCAATCCTATCGTCGGCACTGATCTGAGAAACTCCCGTCAAGGCGTGAGCCGTCGTTGAGCCAGCGATTGAGTCGAAGAGGCCTCTCACTGAATGTGAAGAGCTGCTCAACCTCATGAAAGGATCTGACTGTAACACTGAACCTGCAAAAAGAGGGAACTGGATATGCCGCTGGTGTAAACTTGTCGCTGTCGAAGGAACTCGTCCATCCCATGAACGAGCTTGATGCTGACGCGAAACCCGCTGAGGGTCCAGGCGATGGAAGTGGACAGACCGCTGACAGGCGCATGTCGCTCCCGAAGGAGCTGATAGTGGCCGGGTGAGACATAGGTGGTGGCTGTGGTTCTGCTGTTGGTGTTGTGAAGGTGAACGAGAGCGGCGCTGATGTGAAGAGGTCGTTTTCAAGCGAGCTCGTAGCATCCGGAAAATACCAATCTCGCATCTCGAATGCAGCAGCAGTAGGTGTCGTGAATGGAAACGAGAGTGGCGCTGATGTGAAGATGTCGTTCTCAAGCGAGCTCGCAGAATCCGGACAATGCCAATCTCGCATCATCTCGGGTGCAGCAGTAGTGGACGTCGTGAATGTGTGAGGATGGGCGCCCAAGTCGGATTGATAGATTCGCACCGCCGTATGAGCCTCGGACAATGAGTGATCGTCTAGGAGATCTGTTGATTCCAAAAGCATAGTGAGTTGTTCCAGGTCAGAAATTGAGATATCTGGAAGACCATGTTGTGCAAGCTTCTGCTGCACAACGCTTCTGAGGCTATCGCGTGAGTCCCGTCGATATTAGCAATTGTCCGTAAGATAGAGGACAACACACTCACCATTGTGAAGCGCCGTGGCCCGCGACCACTGTCTGTATTAGGCTGTCGCACGAAATATCGATGTGTCTTCAGAATATATTAAGAAGGTACTGACTGCTCTTTCCCGACGTTCAGGCTGGATTCGTGAAAAGCGCAGTGGAACCGAGAGACAGTGGCGAGGCACTCGTCCACCCACTGAAAGCGCAAGCCCAAGACTCATGCAACTGCCTCATGATCACCAAAATCCTCTGCATTGGTCCATGAACATCCCCAGTCCACCAATTCGTGGTCCAACGGGCAATGATTTGCACGTGGCGGTAGCGACCGTATGTCCAGAAGCTCTTTCTCAGCGTTGACGGCGGTGCATATTTCTCAACTGAACCGGAACGTCCAAAGCACTAGAGAGTACTCCCTATCACTCTCCATCGCGTATCGTCACTTCGACCCTACAGAGGTGCAAAAACGTCATGCGATGTCACCCTCAGGTTTCCAGAAGAGCCGAGTGCTTGATCAGAAAGCAAATAATTCATCGAATGAACGAGCTCAGGATCAAGCCCCCTCAGCTGCCATCAACTTCATAACCCTCTCCCGAATCCTCCCAGTCGCAACCGGATCAACATACTCCACAACTTCCACCACCCTCCCATTCTCCCCTCCCTCTCCAGTCTCAACCCTCAAAAACATAACAACATCATTCCTCACCTCCTCCCCTCCATCCCTCGGCCACATACAAAACTCAATTCTCGCCACCACAGTCTTCCTCTCCACATCCACAACAGTCTCTTTGACCCGATTCTCCCAAGTCCTCATCCCTCCGCACAAATTCTCGAGATGTTTGATGAAACCTTCGAGATCCTTGGCTGAGTCCAAGCCTGGAGTTTCGGAGGCGAAAAGGGAGGGGCCGAAGGAGATTTGGAAAGATGGGTGGCAGAGTGAGCGGATTAGGGCCCAGTTGGGAGTGTTGGAGCCTGGAGGTGAGGGGGATGTGGATGAGATGAAGTTGCGGGCTGTGGTGGATAGTTGAGTGTAGAGGGAGGATTCTTGTGATGCCATGTTTGTGCGTGGATAGCTCCTGGTCTTGATAGTTTCTCCGTGGGTTGTTTGATATCCTATTGCTCCTCGATACGTGATGTGTACACACTTAAATATATGCAAAATGGTCGTAGAAATTGTTAGCAAGGGTATGAAAAGATAGGCAACGCGATAGGAAAACGCAATGGAAGCAAGCACCGACGATGATCGCATACCTTCGCACGTCGCACGTTTCAGACCCCGCGCTGGGTACAAACCTGCCAATCCATGTCGTGCATATTCCTTGCTCGGGCTCGGGTTTTCGATTGCGCGTGTGAAATGTCCGTAGACAATAAACAACTATACACTCATTTAGATTAATACAATGCATCGCCATGACCTGCTAAGGGCATCCGTTTGCTCCCGTCCTCGTAATCTCGTAAAACAAACGTGCCGAGACCCCAACTACAAACAATGTCTTCCAACAGAACCTGCTGTTTCCGCACTGGCAGCCAGCTTCTGGAAGGATTGCAGCTCTCGCGAAAATGGTATCTCGTACAGTAAAATCAGAAAATTGAAAGCAAAGGCAAGGACATTCAAAGAATGTCTTGCAAAAACACGTGCAAACAGCGAATGCCGCTTGAGCGACCCATCGTTGCGCACGATTCGGGCATCTCTGGGCATTCGCTCAGTCCTGATCAGTGCAGGTGCATAATCAGCCAAGGCCTGAGCTTGAAGTCTTGGTCCACGCACTCTCCATTTGGCCAGCTGATGGACGTGCGAATCGCGTGAGACGGTCCTTTATATCTCCGCTGGCCGGTGCTGAACGCCCGCTGTAGGCTGGAACGGTCCTGGTACTTGGAAAAATGCTTCTGAAGCTAGGCAGCTCCATTGCAGTGCGAACAACCTGGCAGTGTCGGGGGCGATGAATTGGAACTGCATCGATCTGCATCCAAGGCTTGTGGCCAGGGGCTCCACTATGCCAGTAAAGGGCTTGCCGCTGGTATCTGGAATGGGGTGCTCAATCGGCGGAAAACGCATGGCCTTTAATCCAGCTCGATAATCTCCACCCCCTTTGGCGGTCCAGCTGACGCTCTTCGACTGCCTTCTTCACGTTCTAGGCTGGGCGACCGAACTCCAGTACGCTCCTCGAGTTTCGGCTTCCAGTTACCATCAGCATCGACTATGATGGCTTTAGTACCCATCGCGTTCCGTCTCTCTAATTCAGCGCGCACGTTGACTAGGAACTCGTCGACGATCAGCGTCTGAGGCCGAACGTCACCACGGCAGAGCGGACAGCGCCAACAGTCCACGACCGCAGGCCAATCTGGCTTCTGACGTTTGCAAACAGACAGAAAAACGTCCAGGTCAAAGACATCTTTATGCAGGCAATTGACTCCGCGTACAGGTGTGTCCACGAGCCGAGCTTGTGACAATGGTTCCACCATACTAATGGTCATGTTGCTGGACGTGACTGCGATCTCGTCATCCGCGTCGTCGTCACTTCCCGAGAGCGCTTTCTTAATCGCCGTCAAAGAATCTTGCTCAGAGATCAAGCCTAGATTCTGCTTGATACTGTCATAGCTCGTTATGCCAATCTCTTCGACGGCGACGGCAAAGTCGAATTTCCGCTTGTCGTCTGCCAAGCGACTATTCAGAATTTTGAGCTTGTTCTCGCCGCTAAGAACGTACGAGGTCACATCAATCGGAAGGTAACGGCCATGATGCAACTTACGTCGACAGTCAAGCTGTACGCCGTTGAGCTCAAAAGACAGCTCCTCGGGCCATGTGTTGTCAGCCACTACCCAACTGCTTTCGGTCGTGTAACCTGCCGCTGGAATAGCACAGCAGCGAAGGCGATACAGGACCGAATTCTCGTTGATGGTTCGAACCTTCGGTGCTCCTGGAATAGTCGAAGACACAGTCTGTGGGATTCGACCGAACGTCGTGTGAGACAGATCAAAAGTAGCAACCTGTACCGACAACTTCTTTCGAATGGTTGCTGGAGGCAGAGCGTAGCCAACGACATGCCGAAATAACTTTGACGCATCAACGTCAGGGTCAGAGGCCTTCAGAATTGGGCTCCGCAAGTAAGCTTGGTGCAGGGCGGATCGGTTGGAGTCCGGATGCGTGGGCTGTGGCCGAGGAGTCTCTTCGAAGGTAGGAAAGACCCGCGTCTTCACAAAACGAGCTTGCCCGGACCGAGCTGCAGGATTTGTTGGTACGTTCGGCGAAGGCATAGCGCGCACTCCGTGGCTCTGACCAGCAAACACAGGCGACTGCAAGGGCGTTTGTCCGCCAGAAGATGCGAGCATGGGCGAGGGCGGTGGCATGTTGACATGAGGTTGAGGTTGTGCCCACATTTGTGAGGGTGCTCGTGTCTGTAGTGGTGACTGTTGGATAGGACTTTGAGATTGTTGATGTACCGATCTTGGTAAGATCTGCTGACGCTGTTGCTGCGGTTGCAATTTGGATGCCAAGCTTGGGGGCATCATCCGGAATACGGCTTCGATTTCTGGCGGAATAGAAAAGGCCGGGAGTGTATCGGAGGCACCACCAAGCTGTTGTCGTTGCTGCTGATAATTGTTCCACGTCGTAAACAAGCTACGAAATGCTGCAAGTGCTTGGAGTTTCTCTTGCTCATTTCTTCGCCAGCCTTGCATAATATATGGATATGCTTGCTGATCCAATTCGTGCAGACGGATAATAGCTTCTGTTCCTGCTGTGTCTTCGAGGCCCCAGAAACGGCGTGCGGTTGCGCGAAAGCATGTCGTCTGGAGAACTATGCTGTGAAGTCGCAGCACATCTACCATGTCTTCTACGAGCGGTGGGGCCAGCATATCAAAGCCCTTGTGAAGCATCAGTACCCAGAATTGCGGAAGTGCTGCTAAGAAAGCTTTCACACTACGCGCTCGCTGCTCGTAGACTTCCCTGATATTCAGTGAACCGGAATAGATCTCCATGATCGGCTCGGGAAAGTCTGCGAAAAAATTGAGAAGCTCCTTGTTGACCAAGTCATTGGAACAAATGAGCCCCTCCACGGCATCCCAGCTACCTTTAGGGACGTCTTTCAAGGATTTGGGCAGCAGACTCGGCATGACCGAGTGCAGACAAAAGATCTGGCTCAAGATTTGATAAAACCAGTCTTCCTTTTCGACAGCATCACGCAGGAGTTTCAGACGACCATGGTCCACATTTGATAGCACGGCGTGCAATTCTGCTGTCTTTGTCCCGATTCGGGCAAGCAATGTCTGCTTCGGGACGCGTGAAGCGGCTGGGATCTGAGTTACGTGCTGTAATTGTCGGGGATGGCCATGTCCCGCCGATGCAATAGGTGGCGATTGCAAGGGCGGAGCGTTCGAGAGCAGCGTTGTACCGGATAGTTGACGCCTTGGTGGATGTCCTTGAAAGCTCCGACGCTGATGCAGAGCTAGCTTCCTGTTAGTTTGGAAGTGGAACTATTGACCACAGGACTTACTCTGGGATTGAGGCACCAACTGGGGCGAAGGAAGAGCTGGCTGGGCGTGCGCCGTCGATTGATGCCGGAGTGTCGCTGGGGTGGGTGCAGCTCCTGCTCGAGGCAGCGGCGATGGATTCGAAACAGATGGTTGCGGAAGTTGTTGTCGAGGAAGTCCAGGCGACTGCACGGTCAATGGAGAGCGAGGAACCGGCGGCCTGATGTTTGTGACGATATTGTGGTCCATGGACAATCGTTGTTGGCCGCTCAACTGGCGACTTCGCAGTGCATTTAATTGATTTTCGGCCAATGTGGGCGAGTTGGTGTTTTCATCACTCGGCGCAGGCGAGGGCAGCGATGGCGCTGAACGAGTGGTGGGATCCATTGGCTTTCTTGCAGGCAAATGAACGCTCGGCAGTGCAGTTTCGGGGATCATGTACCTTACGAGCTCAGGTGCATGCACAGGGCTGGAGTCCATTGTATGGGAGCCCAATGCGCCTGCCTCAAATGCATCGAAATGTCGCGCAGGTGCAATCGGTGCTTCTTGCCCGTTAAAATCGTCGTCTTCGTCCAGGCTAATGACTACATTTGTCGTTGACAACGCGTTTTGCGCTGTTGGAGCTGCAGGTGCAGCGTGAACAGAAATGTCGCGGCGTTTGCTTGTCCAACGGTCCTGCTGTCCAGCATTGGTTTCGGCTATCGCGTGTGGTATAGGCCCTTCGAGGCGTTTCCGCTTGGCTACCGGTCCGGCAGGCGCGAGCATGTTGTGTTCATGCGATGCCTCTTTATCGTCGACATTTGTAGTCCACAAGTGAGCGCGCCTGAGCTTTTACATGGGAAGCAGTGCCTTCCCGAACTTGCTCTTGAAGAGCGCGGCGGATAGAGTGGGTCGCGGTCGCACAGAGTCTGCATGTACTGAAAGAGCGGCGAAAGACGTGGGGCGGGAGCGTGAAACCGGATGTAGAGGGCGAACGTGAAGAGGAGGAGGAGGACGAGTGATGCTGGGAGAGTCCTTTGTCGCGATCGTGTACTGGAGGTCTGAGTCGTGAGGCTTCTTGCCGCATTCGGACTTACAGTATCACAGCATCCCAATGGTCATGTTCACATCGGCGGCGAGAATGAAGAGTGGGGAGGCGCGTTCGTCGCGTGCACAGCGTGCACGGTAATGACATCCGTCCCTCGCCCAGGGGAGAGCAGAGCATGGGTGCCGGCAGTCAAACGAGCCTCACTGATGACTCTCCTGCTTGGCCGTTGTGTGCAGAAGGAGACGGCGGATACAGATGCCGCCCGAGCACAGAGCCGAGCAAGGGAGACGGACGAATTCATCTCTTCGACTCTCTTTATACCAGTTCTCTGCCATGTGAACGTGTTCCACTATCACCGGACTGTGGACCTCCACCGCTCACGCTTCATCATCCATTGCCGTCGGCGGGGCTGACCGCTGCGTATAACGAACGGCGTGTCTGCAGGTGTTTCAGATTGCTGAGTCGCAATCGCTCACTTCTTCTCTACACCACCTTCACATTCTTCCCAATTGTCACCGCCATTGCTCGCCGTGTTCCTGCGTAAACGAGACGAGCGGCCGCCACCCCGCTCACACACGCCCTCGACCCCAAAGGGCCTAGTTGGGCACGTCGCCTCGCGCAGCCCGCACCTTCACAGCTTCTTCGATGTTGCGACGTTGCTACCGCTCACCAACGGCCGTGGGCATGTAGCCAGTCTGCAACGGCGACGGCCAACTTGACATCGGGGCCCATCGACTCCACGACTCCACCTATCCCCGCTCGACCTCACGCGATCGTCCGCCCGGACGTCAACGACGACACCTCCGACCGCACCACATTCTTTATACGCACCATGGCCAGCAAGAGCGGGGCGGGCGATGCGCAACCAGGCTCCATCTTGCTCGTCGTGCACGACTTCCAGGCCCGCAGCCCCGACGAGCTCAGCCTGGCCAAGGGCGACCGCATTGAGCTCATTGAAAGGTGCGTATGGCGATGCCCGACACCACACATGCCCTAACATGCTGTAGGGACGACGACTTCGGCGATGGATGGTAGGTCTACTCACCGCTACCACCACCAACTCGCCCGTATCTGACCGCGCGCAGGTTCTTGGGAAAGCATCTTACCAACGGAAGCAGCGGCCTCTTCCCAGAAGGTGGGTTGCATGGCATTCGTCCACCACGTGCGTTCCAACACGCTGACCGCGCATGCAGTCTATACCACGCCCGCACCCAAGGGCACTTTGACCAACAGCGCCCATGCAAGGCGTCGCTCCAACGATGCCGCTGCTAAGCTCGCGGCCCAAACCGCTGCATCTAATCTTGCTACGCCTGATCCTGGGTCAGGAGCAGCACGCCGCGATCCCTCCACCACCCACTCTCTTCCACCCCCGACCAGCGCTGCGCAGAGTCCCGCCGCTCTCGCTGCCCTCCGAACATCGTTGCCCGGCAATGGCGCTGCCGCGGGGCGAACCTTCACCATCACCTCCGACTCACCTGTGATGAGCGAAACCCTGTCGGTGATTGATGAGCATATAACAGACTTGCGATCGCCGAGGACTTCATACGGTCCCGCGAACGGCCACAAGCGAGACACCTTGTCGAGTGGATATCCACCACAGCAGTCGATCCGAAGGTCGTATATTGCAGGCGCAGAAACCGACGAGGAAGAGCAACAGTTGCACACGGAAGAAGAGGTCATGTCGTGGGGACCGGAGCGCGTGGCCGAGTATCTGGAGGACAACGGCGTGGAGGAGTCACACTGTGACGTGTTCCGAGACCAAGAAATCAGCGGTGAGGTTTTGCTTGCCATGGACCAGAACAGTCTGTTCATAAAAGAGTTTGAGTTGGGCGCAATTGGAAGGAGACTTCGAACATGGTAAGGACACGCACGGCCCACGCGCAAAATGTTGATCCACAAAGTTACTGACTGCTTATGCGTGGCGGCAGGCACAAGATCAAGTCTTTACAAGACGAAGTCAAGCGCAGTGCTATCCCGGTAGACCTGGAAAGAGAACGAAGTGCTTCTGAGTATTCCCTCGGCGCAGATGCTGAGGAAGGTGCTAATGATGCTTCGACGACTGCTCGCAGTCGCAGCTCGACAGTCGGGGGTGCTGCGCTGCCTCGTGGCCTCAGCACTAGCAAACGACTGAGTGGTGAGAATCAGATGGCATTCGCGCCCGCTGGGACGAGACGTGTGAGCGCCGGCATGTCGCCGCTGCAGACCATGACAACCGCGCAGAGGGACAATACGCAACGGCCATCAGCGCAAGGCGTCCGCAATCTCAATCATTCGCGTCGGCACTCGAGTATCGACTCGACATCGACCGACGGAGCAACCCGCATGGGACACCGCAAAAAGCCTTCTTTGGACCAAAAGTGGGAGCCCGGACAGAAGGTCAATGGTGCGCATAGATACACTGCGAGCACCGACTCTCAGCTCCCGGACCGACAGCCGAGAGGCATGTCTCCGACGGAAGAATTGGATCGAGGTTACTTTTCCTCTAACGAAGTGGATGGGCGCACTCGAAGATCTGTTCTCACGAAGAGGAACTCGACGGGTATTAGCATGGCTTCTGGTGTCAGCCCCCTAGACTCCCGCCTGCCCAACTTTATGGAAACTCGCGAGGACGTCAGCCCTATCCGTCCTTCCTCTCACCACACCAGCGCTCTCGATGCGATCCACAGCAAATTTGGCAATTACCGCTCCGCGACAACTCCCATGGCAAAATCTCAACTCGGTTCGGCCAATCCAATTGTCACCAAATTGGACCATGGCAGCACTCAGTCGCTTGGCGCGATCGCCGCGAGTCCGACCAAGATGGCAGATGATGCGAGTGAAGCTTCGAGCGATAAGGCTGCTTCAGGGGTGCCATCTGACAAGGCAAGCCCGAGGATCAATATCAGCATGTTTAATTCTGCAAAAGCGAAGATGACAGGGTTCAGGTCGATCAGTGATGCTGTGACAAAAGATGAGAAGAAGTCACCGACGAAGAACGATGGCTCCTTAAAATCGCCAACCAGAACAGGCTCGTCTACGCCAAGCACCGAGGGAAAGAGCTTTGATCTCAGCAGCAAATCAGCCGTTGACTCACGCGCCTCCACAGGCTCCGCCGGCAATTTGCTGCCACCGCCTCCAGCGAAGCGACCACGCGCCAAGACCAAGACTAAGAAGGCCACATCTGCTTACACTCGTGGGTTGGAACAGAAGACACCACAGGAAGCGATGATTACTTGTGACTATTCGGGCTGGATGAAGAAGAAAAGCGGATCGCTCATGACCACGTGGAAGTCGCGATTGTTTGTTCTACGTGGCTGCCGATTGTCCTACTACTACTCCGATGATGATACGGAAGAGAAGGGATTAATAGATATTTCGTTCCACAGAGTCTTGCCTGCGCATAACGAGACTTTGACTGGCCTGCACGCAACCATGACCGGGGCATCTGGAGGGCCCACGAGTCCCATGCACGGCTCCACACCAACCCTGGCGCAGCAAGATTTACGAAACAATCCACCTCCAAAAGGTGAAGAAGGAGAAGGGATGTTTATCTTCAAGTTGGTGCCTCCCAAGGCTGGACTCTCCAAAGGCGTCAACTTCACGAAACCTGCTGTTCATTATTTCGCTGTAAATTCGAGGCAAGAAGGCCGGCTATGGATGGCTGCGCTCATGAAAGCCACTATCGACCGAGACGACAATGGTGTTGTCACCACGACCTACAATCAGAAGACTATATCATTGGCTAAAGCGAGGGCACGTCGCGAGCGACCACCTGCCCTGAAGGAAGAAGATAATGGCATTGAAGTCGAAGGAATAGCCGAGCTTCCCGGAGACGATGAGCTCAGCGATCGAGGCCTCGGCATCAATGGACTGAACGAAAAAGATTCGACTTTGGGCGGTGCTCAGGAAGACGACAGCACACTCGATGCATCGTCGATCGCGCCTAGCACCGCTGCAACCGAAAGTGTTATGAACGAAGAACGACCGACTACTGCACAGAATGTGTGAATGATGTTTACTATTCATGATGACCCAGAAACGAAAGGAGGGGGGCTTTGGCTGGAATGGGCCACATTTTACGGGAGATGTGTGTCCCAGTTTGTTTACTATGTTCAGGTCTCACACACAGCGAAGGCGTCTTTTCCTGTCCAGCGAGCGCGATATGATCGTTATTGTCTCGACCATCAGCTTTGGTCGAGAAGAAATCTACTTTTCTTTCTGGGATTGGAGACGAGAGTATGATCGATGGAGTGACTGATACCCATGTCGCTTTTTTTCCTTCTCTTCGCTTTTCTATACATTCAAGAAATCGAGATCGGAATTATTCGTCCTCAATTAAGGAAGTTTGCTCTGCATTATGTCGGCGCTCTGTCGAATGAGCACGTCAGCTGATGGACTGGAGATCCCTTCACAATGTTGTACTGACATACAATCTCATCTCTTTGACGTTGACGGCTTTTCAGTTGAGGAGCTTCCTGTCGATTGCTGTGGGTTCCATGCAGTAGAGGCTGTTGATGAGCTCGTCTGACAGCTTGATGATGCAGTCGGTAGACTTGATGGCGCGGTTGCACCTGCGAGATGGGCTGGCAGGCGGTGGATGTATGGCATTGTATTGGCCTACTATATTCAATGAATGATATTCGAGACGAAACTGGAGCCAGATGATTCACCTTTAAGAGTAAGACGCTTTTTGACAGATCATGTTATCTTCGAAGACGGAGTGGAACGATCTGGTGCGTTGATATTCTTACGGGTATGCAAGAGAGCTATGTCGATATCGTAAGATTGGCCATTGGGCAAGCATTGAATGTTGTTGCCTGATGCCTGATAATGGGCTGATTGCTGCCGGAAGACATTAAATGCAGGGAGCTTTCTGACGTCTGCCTGGAAAGCTCTGTAGGATCATGACGGAGACATGGGGCTGGAATTCGGGCGGTGAAGTACTGCTTTTTGATTTCTTTCTTATCACACATTACCATCTGGCCCTGCTAGACTCGTACCCAAAACGCCGCTCTCGAAATTCTATATGATCATGCCATTCGGGAGGCTTTGCTCCGACTGACCAATCTAAAGCCAGGTGCGAACTTCTGTGGTGTGTAAGACGGGGCATCATGCAGCTCTTCAGTTGCACCGTTCTTAGACAACCGATTTACCGCCTCCGCCGGCAGCCTTCCTCGCCTTGTACCACAGAGTAGGCAAGATACAAGAGGAGCAAGTGAACAGGATCGCCAGACTGATCCCAAATCCCCAAATCGCCTTTGTCTCGTAGCAGTTGGCCTTGGTGCTTCCGGCCCAATTCCCCAAGCCCAGGGTGCTTCCAGACTTTCCGATATTGCTCGCCAGAGCTTGAGTAAACGCTGCCGCGGACTGCGCGTTGGCCGCGGCGTTCTTGTCTGCGATGATCGTGCAGTTCAGGAAGGAAAGAGGTTTGCCCAGGACAACAGAGACGACGACAAAAGCTATGAGCAGCAAAAAGTCGACGGCTGTCATGATCAGGAGGCCGAGGTTGGCTTGGGCGTAGAAGAAGGGAATGCTGATGAGGCAATAGAGTGTTGCCATGCAGGTCTGAGAAGGCATGTCAGTATCAAGCGGGGTTTGCGATGGCTTTCATTGGGACTTACAATGACAAGAGTCCCTACGATCTCTTTCGGTGGCTCAACGTTGGAGCTGACGATTTGGCTGACGAAGTTGGCAGTCATGCCGACGATGGCAATCATTGAAATGAGCGACAGGCCTCGAACGAGGACAAAAGTCTTCGCCAGAGGAGCGGCGCCATATTCTGGGATAGGCATGGTGGCTTGTGTATTTGGTATCGTGGATGATTGCACGAAAATTCGAAGTGCTTTCCGTGACCGACGTTTCTGTATTGTGGTATTCGTGAGGTCGACTGCCGTGATGTTCGTTGTGATTTTGATCCCTGCCAGCGGGAGATCGTGTCTAGGTCTAGAATTATGCTCGAAAGGGCAAAGGAAATAAGATACTGTGAAAGAAGTGCTTAAGGAAACACAAAGGAGAGTCGTAAAACTAAGGTGGTCGTTGTTGATGTTCGTAGCTTAGCTTTGAGAATGTCCAGTCACTTATATTCGCGAGCTCTGCGGCCTCAACAACGCTCAGACATTGACCTCGACTTATTCTTGTCCCTTTCCAAGACCCAGACTTGGTATAGAGCGGTTTCGTGGTCCTCAGGCACGAGAAGACCTGAGCCAATAGAAGCCGGCGGCTAGCGAGGTGGACTCGGCGCGTAGAGACAGATGAAGTCGCACGGACTACCACGTCTGCCCTCAAAGACAGACTGGCCTTTCTTGTTCGTCGCCATAAGGACGTGCTCCCAGTCCGTGTGTCGTTGAACGTCGTCTTGAAACTGGTGGTGTCCCTACAGCGAAGCGGATCATCGCTTGCGAGCGTCTGCGGATGTTTGAGCCTCTTCCCGGCGCGTCAAGAGGAGGCTGAGCATCTGCGTACAATCAAGAACCTGGCTAGCACTCCGAGACTCCTGTGGCTAGATTGATGCATTCCGTCGTAGTGTTGTCACTTGTACTAATTATTCAAAGGCTGAAAGAAGGAACGTCGGCTCTGTCACATCGCCAAGCCAAAGTGGATCTTGCAACGTGCAAGGACATCATCTTTCTTCAAGCGGACTTTCAATCAGGCTTCCGGTCAAGAAAGTGCATTCAAGGCTACATTGCAAAGAGAATCGCATTTAGGGTATCCGCCAATGACTCCACTCAGCACCAACGCTTCTATAAACATGAGCACCGCGCTATACAGGCTCGTAGCTTTCCAGCTGTACATATGCGCCTCTTTCGCGCTCCTCGGCCTTTTGTCTCCTTCCCACAATCGTGTCCTTTAAATCAGCTATGCGCGATACTATGCCCGCTCTGCGGAGTGATAGTACGCCATCAATATTCTCTTCCGTCATCCAGCCAGGTCTGCTCCAGAATTTCAATAACAAACTACTGACCACCACTGTTACACTTGAGCATGCCATTGCAGCGCCGGCTGCTAAAGGTGGCAGCGTAATGCCCCATGGCAGGAGAAAGCCCATAGCAATTGGTAACCCAAATGCGTTGTAGACGCAAGACAGCAGGAGGTTCAGCTTGATTCTCCTGAAGATTGTTTTGCTCAGGTGAAGTGAAGCAGGAACGTCCATAAGCTGGGTTGGCTTCATGAGCACGATGTCCGCAGCATCCATCGCCACATCAGTACCAGAGGCAAGGGATATTCCAACATTTGCAGTGGCGAGCGCAGGAGAGTCGTTGATGCCATCACCCACCATGGCCACTGTGAGGCCTCGTTTCTGCAGGTCCTGGATGATCTCCTTTTTGCCTTCGGGCAACACGCCAGAGAAAACATTCTCGGGTTCAATGCCGACCAGGGCGGCGACATGAATGGCTGTGGCCGCCTGATCGCCTGTCACTAGAGATGTTCCAATGTTCATGCGGTGAAGCGCAGCAATGGCGGCTCTAGCGGTTGGCTTGAGTATATCCGACAATCCAACAGAGCCAGCATAAGCCGCATCGATGGCGACATGTATTGTGGTTATGCCTGCTGATTCAGAGGCTTTGGAAGACGATGGAGCAGAAAGCGACCGACGTCGGACTTGGTCGTAATCGTCGTATTCCTCCTCAGCACCCTTTGGCACTTCTATACCCTGCTTGCGCAAGAATGAAGCATTGCCAATGACGATGGCGTATCGCCGCCGCCCGAATTTGGAGCCCGGTTCGATTGATGCGGAAATGCCGTTGCCCACGGTCGCTTTGAAATCTCCCATGTGGCCTTCTAGTTGCTCGTCAGCCGCTAGACCCAGCCTTGACTTCGCGCCATTGAGTATTGCCTTGGCGATGGGGTGCTCGCTGCTGGTCTCGGCAAGACCGACAAGTGTCCACCAGAGGTCGGTTTGTGTTTTCCACGATTCGATCTGCTCGGATTGCGAAACACTCATCTTACCCATAGTGAGTGTTCCTGTCTTGTCAAGGACAACGTGATTGATCTTGGTAGCAGTCTCCAACGCTGCTCCACCCTTCACCAAAATGCCTTGCTCCGCACCAACACCAGTGCCAACCATGACCGCAGTGGGCGTTGCCAAACCAAGGGCACATGGACAGGCGAAGACGATGACTGCAATGCAAAGCTTGACGCAAACCATCAGCCGTCCGCCGCTGTCATCGCTCAGGAAGATTGACGGTGGATGTGGTAATATATGACTGAGTATCATCCATCCAACAAATGTCGCTAGACCCAGTGTGATAATGATGGGCACGAAGTATCCGGCGACGATATCTGCCAAGCGTTGAATTGGCGCACGACTCGTTTGTGCTTCCTGGACGAGGCGAACAATTTGACTGAGCTGTGTGTCTCGGCCTGCTCGTGTGACTTTGAAATCCAACCGGCCAGCGTTGTTGACAGTGCCGGCCATGAGAGCCGAGCCAGGCTTCTTGTTGATGGGCATAGCTTCACCAGTGACCATACTCTCATTGACGTAGCTCTCACCGCGCATAACAATACCATCGGCAGGGATCTTGTCTCCCGGCTTCAGAATCACGATGTCGCCTACCTCGATCAGTTCAGTGGGAATAGTCCTCTCCTCCATAGCAGATCCAGAAGCTTCGTTGTCCGTGGTCTTCTTTTCGTCAATTGCCTGCTCCGCGTCCCAATTTTCAGAGGCTTTTGCAGCTGCAATGGGATCTGTGTAGATGGTGGCCATTGGAGGTGAGAGACTCATGAGTCTCGACAGCGCCTTCGAAGTTTGCCCTTTGGCACGGTTCTCCAAGAAACGACCCAGCGTGATGAACGTGATCAGCATCGTGCTTGTATCGAAGATTGTTGATGGCCTCGAGTGAGGCGGTATGAGGATCGAGACCAACATGGCCGCGCAGCTGAAGAAGAAAGCTGCCGAAGTGCCGAGTACAACGAGTACATCCATCGTAGGTGACCCATGCTTTATGGACTTGTATGCCGAGACATAGAACCGCTTTCCGATTCCAAATTGGACGGGTATTGTCAATGCGAGGCAAGCAACATCACCTAGCCAGAGGCCAGGGATGATCGGCAGCTTGATACTACCCACGTCTAGAGGCTTGATGAACATGGGTAGGAGCATACTGATGACGAATACCGGGATGGCAAAACCCAAGGACACTCGAAAGGCGCGCTTCCATTCTTGGATCTCCTTCGTCTTGGCCAGTGACTCCAGTTGCGCGTTATTATCGTCGTTGTCAGCCACCAGTGCATTGTATCCAGATTGTTCAATTAGTTCCACGATCGCTCGTAGACCAATCACGGATGGGCTGTGTGAAATCGAAGCCCGACCAGTTGCAAAGCTAATATTGATCGAGACGATTCCAGGCACATTCTTCAGCTTCGTCTGCAACTCTGCCGCGGATTCGGGACTGGGCAGACCGAACACTTTGAACTGTGCCAGGCAATTGGACGCCGATGCCTGCACGCCTTCATCTACGCTTGACACTACTGTGGCATCGAAACCTCTGTCTTCGATCGTCTCAGTGATTTTAGCGACCGGAAGCACCGCGGAGTCGTGGACAATAACTGCGCGTTCCGCGAGCAGACTGATGTTGAACTGAACAAGACCAGGAAGATCCTTCACGCCACTTTCAACTGCAGAAGTGCAAGCACCGCACGTCATGCCCTCAATGGCTATTGTAGTGGTTGTATATCGCTTGCTTGTGCTCTTCCTCCTGGATCGTGGTTTTACAGAGATCGTTTCGCTCGATTTCGTCTCCAGAATCTCTGCATCGAACCCGGTATCCTCAATGGTCTCTGCAAGTTTTTCCGGGCTGATAATGCTTGCATCATGTTCTATCACAGCGCGTTCTGACAGCAGCGATATGCTGAAGCTCTTGATGCCTGGTACATCCTTGAATGCGCCTTCCACCGCGGATGTACAGGCTCCACAGGTCATACCTCCCACATGGAGTGTCGTCGCAGATATGCCACCGCCGAGCAGGTCCGTTTCTTCGTCCACCGAATCGTCTTCGTCAGACACGTCGAACAGTGCTCTTTCTGGGCGATCGCTACTGATGACTGTAGCATCAAATCCTCTGTCGTCTATGAGTTCCCGTATCTGCTCGGCGCTGATCTTGTCTGCGTCGTGGGCGACAACAGCCCTCTCCATCACCAAGCTGACGGAGACACTTCCAACCCCGTCCACATCTTTCAGTCCAGATTCAACAGCCGATGTGCAAGCACCGCATGTCATTCCCTCCACTCGTAATGTCGTGGTCGTCATATGCATGGTCGGGGGCGCTGCCGCGGTGTTTGGCGCCATGTCGGAGGTGGTGTCCGTCGATCGACGGAGACAATTCTTCGCTACTAGAGGGGAGCCAGTGACGGTGTCGCTCGCAGCCGGTTACGAATGCTTCCGCGCATCCGTGAATGAGTATGCGTAGGTTCTTATCGTGAAGGCAATACAGAGATCGCCGCGAGTGCCATGTGCTGCGGGCAGAGCGCTGTACGCAGATGTCAATAGAGAAAAAGGACAAAGAAGCAGAAAGTGTGGACGCTGCGGTCCCACAGCCAACGAGGCGCCGTTTCAAGCAAACAACATGGCAACTTTAGGTGGTAGTGGTGTCGTGAGATGGCGACAACGCTCGGGCGATACTTCTGAGGCGGTCTTGAACGGCTTCCGACCTTCCCAATCAAGGCCCTGATCGGACGCTTTGCTTATCACGTAATGCTTGGCCGGTGATCAGCCAAGTTTGCAAGGGTAGTGTCTCGAGTGTTCACTTGTCCCGCACGTAAAGAGTCTCGTGTACCACATATATTCGCTGTTGCTACTTCGTCTTTGCCCTCCAAAAGCCGATACACATTTGGCGAATTGAAGCCACTTCCGTGCTAGCAAAGCCTCGCCTCCAGACGTTCCCTCCAGCTACCGGCTACCAGCCAATGGAACCACATTGCCGCACTTGTTTATAGCTGTACACTCCTCTGCCACGAGGTCACTCACTGGCCCACCAGCTGTTTCAGTATCTTCACACACTCGTCTGGCTTGCTGAGGAACGGACTGTGGCCACTCTCCAAAGTGAAGAAATTGAAATTCGCTCGCTCCTCTTCACTCAACAGCCCGAGGAGAGTCTGCTGGGTGGAAAGTGGCAAAGCAAGGTCCTCGGTAGTGTAGACATATGTGCATGGAAATTGCCTCCAAGGTGCGTGTCTGGTAATTTCCGTAAAAGCTGAATATGAGTGAATATGAACGTGCTTCGCAGCTTCCTGTGCAAGCTGGGGATCAACATCTTGATAGAAGCACGAGATAGTGTCGGGCACGACCACTGCGTGTCCCTAAAGAACTGTGAGCAATACTTCATTACCAAATATGAGCTGGCCACATACCTCGTGCCGAGCCCAAGAGGCGACTTGGCCGTTGGTGCGAGTGGTCAATGAATTTCCTTGCTCGAGGACTATAGCGCACAGATAGACAATGCGCTGCACCTTGTTCTTCGCATTCTCGCTCAACTCTACTGCAGCTTCGCCACCGACTACGCCGCCGTAGCTGTGACAGACTGGTACGATCGTATCGGACTCCGCCGCCGCTTGCTCCAATACGACCTTGGCCGCTTCGACGTCTGCCCGAAGTGCACCCTCGCGCAGGACTTCATCTATATTGGGATTGACCGATGGAAGGTCTACCGTCGACACGCCGAATCCGGCATTCTTCAGCCTTGTGGCGAGGAGTTGCAGATGCCAGGCCCGGTGCCAGGCGCCATGAATTAGAACGAAGTGAGTTTTGTTCCCAGACATGATGGTAGTGTTGTCTTTGAGGTTGAAGCAAAGAACTTGGTTTTCTGGCATTCACGCCATCTTTATAGTTGTGGTTTGTACCGTCCGACTGCTGCATTTGCGGAACGCATTGGCATAAGCTCGCTCCTGAGGACTACACTCACATCGTGCTTTTGCCCCATAGCGAACCAGCTTAATAATGCAGCGAGCACTAAATCGAGCCCTAAATCACCAGACGAGTGGCAGACAGCTTGCCGTGACATGCTGTATGGTGCGATTGTGTTGTAGGATTGATGAGCGGCATTGCTCTGGAGGCCTTAGAGCTAGCCGCCATCGTTGACCGGCGCCATGCTGTACCAAGTGAGCGCATGCCATCTGTGATGAACGCCGACCTTGCTATCTCCTCAGTCAGCGCCGCGACGTGATGCTCGTGTCTGAAGTTGATTGCCGTCACTAAGATTATATTCGCCTCATCGGCAGTGTATATCTCGGCGGTCGGTTGAGACGTGCTCAACAAAGCTCCCGCAATTCACACTCAGCTACGCCACAAGCGAGAGGCGAGATCGCGCTACTGCATCTTCCGCCAGTCAGAGACAACGGCTAATCGTATTTCTTCAGCCAAGGAGCCCCAGTCAAACTCCAATTCGGCCAAGTCTCAGGTGACTTTGCTGCAATAGGCATGAGACCGCCATTAGTGCTGCCACCCTGGCCGCAGCGGCAGGCCGCGTGTCGCGGTGGCCAGTGAGCGTCGAGAGGCCAGACTCGCGAGTCTCCTGGCGGCCCTCCGCTGTCTGCACCATTTCTCCTCTCCTCCCCCGATCCACCGCGCATCTTCAAGTATACAGCCTTTTGGTGCCACACTCGTTGAAGGCCGCGCGTTTTTCCCACTGTCGCTTTGTGGTCTTCATCATCATCACCCATTTTTAATACCGACCTTCGCTTTGTGTCTGGCTTGGTGGCGACGATTGAGATCGACGACCGGCATTCCTGAAACCCGGTCGCTGCTGCAGAAGACAAACACACGACAGGCGCGTTGCACAGCATCCACTGCTCGGGCGCCCGCCTTCTACCACTGCTCATCGCATACCGAGTCCGACGAACGAACAAGCCCATTTGCATATCTACCCTTCGTGCAGCTGCACGCGTCCCGACGCCATGAAGTCGACCTTCTCCGCAGCCGCGATCCTCGCCGGCCTTGCGCTTGTCAGCGCCCAGGACTCTCCGAAGTGCTCCCCGAGCAGCCCTTGTCCAGCAGACGCGCCTTGCTGTTCTCAGTACGGCCAATGTGGTGTGGGTGCATACTGTCTGGGAGGATGTGATCCAAAGTCCTCCTTCAACCTCCAGTCGTGCATGGCTGCACCGACATGCAAGAGCGCAGACTACAAACTCACTTCGCTGGACGATGTGATGCCAAACACGCGATACCTGGGAGATGCAAGCAAGGCGAACTGGGTCAGCTCTGGAACGGCTGTCGCATACAATGGCGATTCGCTGTTGCTCACCATGGCACCCAGCACAGTCGGAACTCTGCTCTCCAGCACACACTATGTTTGGTACGGCAAGATTAGTGCAACAATGACCTCCTCACGGGGACAAGGTGTTGTCACTGGTTTCATTCTGATGAGCGACGTCAAGGACGAAATTGATTTTGAATTCGTTGGCGATGACGTTCAGGCCGCACAGAGCAACTACTACTACCAGGGAATCACCGACTGTGAGTCTTGCCCTCCACTGTCATCATGCGGACTTTTACTAATCGATTGTAGATGGCAATATGAAATCACTTGGAGTGTCAAACACCGACACTGACGTCCACACTTACACGATCAATTGGACTCCAGACGAGATCACATGGAGCATTGATGGCAAGGACCTGCGCACTCTCAAGAAGTCGGATACATACAACGAGACTACCAAGAGCTACAATTACCCACAGACCCCATCTCGTGTACAACTCTCGCTCTGGCCGGCTGGTCTCCCAACCAACGGAGAGGGAACTATCGAGTGGTCAGGCGGTCTAGTCGACTGGGAAAACAGCCCATACATGCAGAATGGCTATTACTACGCAATGGTCAAGGACATCTCTGTTGAGTGCTACGATCCACCAAGTGGCAATGCAGGTGGCAACGCCTACTACTACACCGGCGGAAGTTTCAACGAAGACACTGTTGCTATTGGCAGCAACAACACTGTCCTCGGTTCGATGATGGCGAACGGCAACAACCCAGACTACGGCAAAGTTCAGCCAGGCTCATCCACAGCTTCCGCTCCCAAGATGGACAAAACTCCTGAGTCTGTGCCAGGTGTCACTGGTGGTGGCAACGTTGCAGCCGGCGGACAAGCTCCTATTGAGTCGTCTTCTGACAGCAACAACGGAGGCTCGTCCAGCTCTGGTTCCGGTTCCGGGTCTGGTTCTGGTTCTGGGTCAAGCAGTGGCTCGACTGGCGACTCGAGTTTCTCGCAAGGCGGCGGAAGCACTGGCGCCACTACTGGTGAAGCGCCAAGAATGATTGCCACTAGCAGCGCAGTCGCTCTGCTTGGTTTCTTCGTTGCTGCTCTTATGCTTTAATTTCTTGTTTATTTGACAAAAACGCTGCACGTTGGACTAGCGGGCGGATGTAATGCCCTGACGGCTTTTCACTCCTTCAATGAGCGGATGGTATCAGTCGATGGCCGCGCGGGTTTGTACAGTACCTTGCCCTTGACTAACGACGCATTGGATGTTCTTTTCTTCGTGCATGATTGGACTATGTAGCCAGGTGCATAAGCAGCAAAAAAGTAATGTTCAATGAAATGAAGCATGAAAGTCTATCGAGCTCAGACCCCCTTTACACACTGAGTCTGAAGCAGAGGCGTCTTGACGATTGAAGATCACAATACAATAATGTAACTGGACGTACTCTGCTGAGTCTGCTCCATGGCATCCAGGTGCATGGCGAGACATCTGTATCTCGACATTGTTGCAGTAATTGGACTAACTGTGGTGGTCGGGATGTGAGCGTGGTGCGGGTCCGGCCATGCGGCCTGTGGCTCAATTTTGCCAAGCCTCCCACAACTTTTCGAAGTCGCCGAACGCCGACATCAATCGCAGGACGTCGAATCGAAGGCAAGATTCAGTTGACCACCGCACCGACCGACACATCCCTCTACCTCCGTCCAACATCCTCAATCCACCTTCAAAATGGAGAACGAACGCGGCGAGCTCGTCGACCTGTACGCGGTCCCCGCACAATCATCCTCGGACGCCAAATAGCAGCAACTAACAATTTTCTCTTCCGTAGCTACGTCCCACGCAAGTGCTCTGCTACCAACCGCATCATCAAGGCCAAGGACCACGCCTCTGTTCAGATCTCCGTCGCAAAGGTTGACGAGAACGGCCGCGCGACCGGCGAGAACCAGACTTACGCCCTCTGCGGTTTCGTCCGTGCCATGGGCGAGAGCGACGATGCGATCAACCGACTTGCGCAACGCGATGGATTCTTGAAGGGTGTCTGGAGCGCTTCCCGATAGATGGAGCAAGATGGGCCAGAATGGTCATGAAGCGATGAAGTTAGAAGCGAAAGGTGAGGAAGCGGGACACACTTTGGCTGCGGGAGGGTGGATGTGCTAATTGGAGAAACCAGGACATTGCTGCTGACGGCTCATGTCTGGCGTATGGTGTTAACTTGGAATCGGCCATGCGACGGTATAAAGACATAGAGTGGCTTTGCTCATAGCTCAGGCCTGGCGACACCCGGCAAGTGCGGAGTGCGCCACGCGCAGAATGCACCACAACAGATTCCACGATTCACGACATATGTCTGACCTCAATTTCCGTTTCCATTTCCTTTCTATGTTCTTACATACGCCCCCCTTTCATTCGCTTCCAATTACATTTGACGGCTGATTACGGCCTTCTCTTTCCCTCTCATCAAGGTGAGTTGGCCATGAAAGCAGGAGGAAAGGCAAGAAGTACTGCTTGGGACTCGCTGGTATCCTCGGAAACCGCTCTCCTTTGCTTGCTTCGCCAGCCAAGAACGAACATGCGCTGGAAAAGTCTGCGGTCGTTGAGCTCATTGGCTGTGGTACAGATACAAGCGATACATTTCCTTTTGGCAATTCGTTCTTCACTGCCCACAGCTATCATTTCTCAACGAACATTCTCTACACAATCGCCCCTTCAGCTGAAGCGAATCGTACCCTCTGCGACGCTAGTCCCACTGGGGCCAACGTCACTGCCTCAGTACATCTGCACTTCGAGCAAAGCCCGCCCTACACCTGCATCCAGTCCCGGCACGCCATGGTTCTCCACCTCGTATGCCACCGCTTGTCTGTCTCGACATGCTTCTTTGAACCCATCGACTGATCCTCCAACACCAAAATACATCCGCTTTGCTCCAATCATGGCCTTTGCCATCTTCACTCGTTTCAGGAGAATGGCCAGTAGGTCGGCGAAAGTTTCCGTTGACTCTGGGCTGTATATTGTCTCTGCAGCTAGGACGACTAGTCCCATATCTGGGGCAGAGCTCGGAATCAAAGCTGCTAGTGAGGGCGACCATGGTCCAGAGACGAAGTTCAATGCTATTCCGGCATTGCTTAGATCGGCTTTGAAGCGGTTCAGGAGATCTGGTGTCAGTTCCAAGTCCCCGTTTGTGACAGCATTCTGGCTGGAGTAGTCGAATCCTGAAGTTTCAGTTTTTGCAGCCCACGTCAAGATGAGGTTGGGCAAGGTGATGAGTCGAAGGACTTCTTCGTTGTAGTCTGCCAAGGTGAAGGTCAATCCGCTTATCGAATTGAGCAGAGCATGGCGGTACAGTATCAGCGAAGGCAGAGCGCTTCCAGCTCCGAGCTGGATGGCGGTCAATGAAGGTTCGCGAGTTTGATAGACACCACGTACCTCCACAATCTGATCACATTTCACGAGCTCATCGATGTCCTTACGGGGTCCGCGATCGAGCAGGAGACTGGCCAAATCTACCGAGCATTCCCAAGTCTTGAAGCCGCCTTCGTATACACCAGATCGGAGGTCAAATTTGTCGAGTTGTTCTACAACTTGATCGTTGGTAGAAGAGTCTTCTTGCAATAGCTGCGCGCGAACATCGAACAGCTCGCGTCTTGGCAGGTACACAGTCCGGCCTAAGGGTGACTCGATGCGTACGGTGCTGTAGCTCAGGTGCTCGGGCAATGTCGTGATCTGGCAATAATCAGCTGAAGCTCCCTTGAATCATATTAAGTTTCACGCAAAGGTGCTCCTGCAGTGCGATGCTCGAAGAATTCTGCAATCCTTGGAGTCCTTCGTATCGAGAGCGACGCTCTTACCTACCAGGTCATCGAGCTTATGCGCGCGGACTGGGACCTGATGACTGATGGCTGCGCTCTGCTTAGCAATTGGTGCGACCTGTGCAGCGTCTTCATTGTCGCTGCCTACGTCTTCGGAGAAACCAAAGGAGAAAGCCATGCCGTGCCCGACCTGTATGAGCGGCATAAAATTGCCAAACGCTTCGGAGTTAGTTAGGTTACGCCCGCTTCTGCCAAGCAAAGGATCTTTGTTTGGTGTTGTCTGGTTGGCTCGAGGCGGAGCCACCAACGACACAGCCATCACCCCACGCATAACTTGCATCAACAATCGGCTGAATGTAAACTCCATCTGGGACAAATCCTGTACAGGTAAGGAGCCTGGGAGACGAAAAAATATATAAGAAGAGGACGCTATCGTGAACATACTCATAGCAGATTGTACTTGCAACTTCAAGCATTCAACAAGCGCTTACTGCAACCTATCGAATCCAGCAACACCCGAAATCTCACGCAATGTCATTCGCACCTACGACTCCCTACAAGCCTTACGCTGATGCTCATGAGAAACCGCAAGGTGCCGGGGATGCTCGCCCAACAGCACTTCAGATAATCAAAGACAACAATGCTGAGGGCAAGTTCAAAGGCAAGACCATTCTGATCACAGGTACCTCTTCTGGCATTGGCGTCGAAACTGCTAGGGCACTTTACGAGACTGGTGCACAGCTCTATCTTACAGCGAGGGATATCCCGAAGCTCGAGAAAGTCATCGACGACATTGTCCAAAACGCCACGATCAAAGATGCGCCTCGGCCCAAACCCCTGGAGATCCATCTGGACTCTCTGGACAGCGTTCGCAAAGGTGCCGAAGAGTTCAAGAACCAGTCCAAGCAATTGAATATTCTGTGAGCAGCTCACTATTTCACACATGCTCAGCGCTAACACGTTCTGCAGCATCAACAATGCTGGAGTGATGGCTTGCCCCCAATCAAAGACTAAAGACGACTTCGAACTCCAAGTCGGGACCAACCATTTTGCCCACTTCCTCCTCTTCCAACTTCTCAAGCCTGTTCTTCTCTCCTCCAGTACACCAGATTTCCACTCCCGCGTCGTCAATCTCTCCTCTTCCGGCCACAGATTCGCCCCAGTCCGCCTCCAGGACATCAACTTCAGCGAGCCAGATTCATATGAAAAATGGACTTCATACGGCCAGTCCAAGACTGCAAACATCTACATGGCCACTTCGATCGAGAGACATTACGGATCCAAAGGCCTGCATGGTCTGAGCGTGCATCCTGGCGGTATCATGACGGAACTTGGTCGGCACTTGAACCAGGACGATTATGAACAGCTGAATTTTGACAAGCTTGAGAATATCTTCAAGACTCCGCAGCAGGGCGCCGCGACGACTGTGTGGGCTGTTGTGAGCGAACATTTTGAAGGAAAGAATGGAGGCAGGTGAGTAGGAACGAATCGTTCAAGCCCAATTGGAAAGTCGATTGCCGATGCTGATTGTCGAGCAGATATCTGGAAGACTGCAGCGAATCTGCACCCTTGCCACCCGACTATGGCATGATGGATCCTGGATACGCTCCGCACATTTACAACGAGGAGGACGAAGAGAAGTTGTGGAAGCTGAGCAATGAACTGCTCGGCTTGCCAGCGGAGGAATAGCGCTGTGCTGCGAAGCCTACGAGAAGAATGGAACAAAACAGAAACAAAAGTCAGAAAGTACGTCGAGCGCTCAACTGCTCGACATTGAAAGGCCAAGTCGTACTGCTATCGTGGGTATCATCGTACTACGGACTTGCTCATCAATCATGATCTGTCGTATCCAAAGTCCTGTCAACTCATTCATCACAATTCTCGCTCCTGCTTCCCGCTACCCAACATCTTCTTATCTCCCTGCTCTGCTTTACCTACAATTTTCTCGTAGTTCTGTGCAGCAAGTTGACGACTCGCATCTCTTTGCTTCTCAAGTCTTTCAATGCCCAAGTTGATGCTTTCAATGTGGATCTCCAATGGTATTTTGTCAGTGCCAACAGTTTCGGGCATTGCTACGCGTTCTCGTAGGTCTTCGAGGCTGTGTTGAATCTCTTGCAGTTTCAATAGAGTAGCTGTCACATGTCCCCACGCAAGACGTCGATATTCGCCGACATTGCGCAACAACTCAAGCTGGGAATTGAGCTTGTTGAGATCTTTGCGGTTGCCTCCAAGCTTGGTCCAGAGGGCGGCAAACAGTTCGTCTTTGCCAGACTCGATTCTGATGCCATCACGAGTTGAGATGCCTGAGATGATATCAAGTCTGTTGTCGAGATTGTCGAGAATGTCCCGAAGAGCCATCGCCTCATCGATCAGCGACATGATCTGCTCTTCTACAGCCCCTGTATGGCGGAGATACTGGTCAAGAAGCACATCCCTCGAGAGGCTGAGGGGCTGAAAGGGTGCGAAGATATTCAGATTGTCGCTGAAGAATCTCGCAATCGACCCACGCTGCGCTTCTTTCTCCGAGACGCCATCAATCACACTTAGCGTCCAGCGGTTGGTAGAGAGAATATGGTCCACTGCTCTGCCGATGCGCGAGTTGAATCGACTGAGATCTCCGCTTGCTTGTCGTGCTGTGTCGACAAAACCACTGAATTCGAACACGAGCTCGTTCTTCGAAGGAAGACTAGAATACTGCACGACATGCTTAAGGTCGCGGATGCTGGCCTCGCTTCTCTTCATGTCCGCTGGCAAATTCGCACCGACTGATGAGCTCTTCAAAACATCCTCAAATGCATTCTGTGCCTGCATGAGCTGTCCAAATTCTGCTTGACCCTTGAGCTCTGGAGCATTGCTGTTCGGGCAGAATGGCAAGCCGCCTGTGAATGGTAATCGGCATATCGGCGTGAGCGCATTGTTGATTGTGTTGTTCAAGAATCCAGATCCAAATACTAGCGCAGCGGCAAGTAGATATACCAGAAGGGCCCAGCCGAAAATCGGCTTCATATTGTGTAGCACCAGGCCCACCACATCTGTCGTGTATGATAGAAGCGGTTTGATAATCTTGCTCCAGGCAACAGCTGAATACTGCGAAGTCTTGCTTGTCTTCTCCTCGTCCGACTCGTACTCCTCCTCGTTGTGTTGACTGAGCTTGCTCTTCTGAAAACGTCCAGCGTCACTTGTCATACTCCGCTCCGCCATTCTCGCTCGCGGAGTTGTTGCTCTACTCAGTTTCCTGATCTGCCCGGCATCCGATGTATTGCTCCTCTCGTTCAGTCTGAATCGTGGTGTTGCGTCTCGTTTCCTGCCATCTTTTGTATGATGTGCTCGAGCATCTGGAGCTGATGGCATCACAAGCTCGGGCTCGACTGAGGAGCGTAATGTTCTCCGCCGTGGAGACTCATTTTCATTGTTCGTCGCTCTTTGTGAAGGATTCCTTGAAGTCTCGTATGCGCTGCCAACCTCTTCGCGTTCCGTCTGTTCATCGTATATGCCTTCCGAATGCCGGGAATCGCTTACGTCGTCCCAAGATTCCGTCAAGTCGGTGGGGCGAGCGCGCCGTGTTCGTGCCATTTTCGACAGCTGATACGATCGCGCTTTCGCACTGTGGACGTTCCAGCACCTGTGATCAGCCTTTGTCGAGTAGCTCGCTACAGCAATATGTTGTCGATGAGACTTGGGCGAAGTGCGCCGAAAGTTGGATATCCATACTCTGATCCAGCCACCACGCGTATTGTTGACCTGCTGCAGGCATCACGCGAGGTCCTCATTCACTTATGACGTAAAGTTCGGCGCTAGCAGGGTTAGTCCTGCAAACCACTCGAGACGAGGTGAGAAACACAGGTAGCACAACATGGCAACTTCATACTGAGATTTGGCCCGCAGTCTGAGAAGAGAATCGATTATAGCGCTATATTTGATATGGAATTTCTTGCGAGGTTTGCTCAATCACGGCAAAGCTGGACGCTCGGGATCCTGCAAACGAGCCAGCTCGAGCAGCAAACGATATATGTACACAACCTGATCAACAGGCCGCATTGATCTCAGTGCCCATTCCCTACCAGCTAGTGCGAGTTCTTTGGCGAGAACTCTGCCTTCTCTCTCCTCGACAAAATATCGGACGACCTCCGCCAACTCAGTCATCTCGAGTGAGATAGGTATGTAATGTAGCCAAGGCTGTAGCCTATCATCGTGCCATTCGCGGAACACTGTTTGCTTCAGCGGCAGAGAATTTGATTCGACGAATCGATAGTATCTCGCAGAGTGGCCATTGCCATCAGCATCGAACACAAGAGTGTATTCCAGGGCTGTCTTCCTTGGCTCGGGAGCGATCACGTCAAAGTATTCTTGTTGGTGAGCACAAGCTTCTGGTGAGCATTGCACAACGTCTGTGAAATGAACGTTAAACATGGTCTTTTTGAGGCTCTGTTTTATGGGCTCCCATGGCCCATTCTTTCCTCTTCGGCGCAGCAACGTTTGAGCTTCCGCATCCATGTCATTTGCGAGACTGACGAACCGCTGCCTATGAAGGGGCAGCCAGTCGTCTTCAGTCACATTTTGAAATCCTCCTGTGGTCTTCCCCGCCCAATACAGTGCATGAGTCTTCTCTTCGTACTCAACACTCTCTTCAGGATCCGAAGCATAATCGCTGTGGGTGTATGCTCTTGCTGGAAATGGAATATCGTTCATAGTGGAAATTACTGCAGGCGACAGTACGGGCAAGGGGACATTTGCGGTGTGAAGAGATGTTGCGGACTCCCAAAGCCCGTGCGCGTGCTTCCACTCCTTGTGGTCGCAGAGGGACAACGACTTGAAGTTGTCCTGCACGAATCCAAAGACTTTGTGCTCGCTGCCGAGCGACACAAGCTCTGAATACGACTCCAGTGAGGGCCGTGACTCGCGACACTGGTCAACGACAAGTTCTTGCCATGCATTACCTTGGCCGAGGTCCTTCCACTCCACTTCGTCTGGTTCCGGTTCGAGGTCGCGCTGCTGGTGCCGCAAGCGAGCGCTGGATGATGAGTTGCGATTCAGCAGGATACGCGGTTCATCGAGCATATTGATCAGGAGCTCAACATCAGGCAGGTGGCCAATTACTCTAGCGTCGGCAAAGATACGCAAGATGACATCTCCCAGAACTTCACAGCCCTCTTGCAATTGGCTGTTTTTGATCCTGCAAGGTGCTATCTCTGCTCGAGCGTGCGGCCGGTCCATCGTCTTCTGAATTTCCGCCCCGCTGTACTGAAGAAGAGGAGAAATCGCATCATCGAGGACGTCAAAGTCGTCTATGATAGGGGACGATACTGCTTTGGCGTAGGCAAACCAGTACTCGAAATTTGGGGGTGGCGTTCTTCCATATCGACGGAGGTATTCTGCGACGGCTTGCTCGTAGGTACTGGATTGGCGCGCAACCTTCTCTTCATGTTTGCGAGTGGCTGCCTTGGAAATTGTCAGAATAGGATGTTCCTTCGATAATCCTGGCCCAGCTGTTGTCGCTAGCGATTCTGATGTTGATGATTCAGCAGAAGACCAATATGTCTGCACGGTGGCCGGCGATATCCCGACAGACATTGGTCGCAAGTACCAAATGCCCAAAGTTACGCAAAGACCTGTAAAGACGAACAGCCGTAGCGAGGCATGGCGCCGCTTCGCCAGCATCCTGCCTTAAATCCACGTTGGAGGATGGCTGGTTCGCAAGGAATGCAGTGCACCAGGCGTGGGTGATCGTCACTATGCTTCGGCCTGGGGTGTTGCAGCGGACGTGATGTTCAATAGAGCTCGCTGTGCCTCCTTGACATGAGGATTTCTCGACCAACAAAATTCGGCAGTATCGAGGTCGTAATGCATCGGAGCCAGTCCAGTATTCTACGTGGAAGGTGTGTTACCGCAAATCAAGTCGGCGTGCGCAGCGTCGGACCATCTGTAGCGAGCGGCAGCACGCAGCTCACACCAACGTTTCTCGATGTCTTGCGATGCGAGTTGACGGCAAGGAACGAAGAACACGCGTTGTCGGCTCGTGGCTTGGGGACCCCTAGACCATCGTTAAGTCAAGTCCAGAATGGCGTTGCTAGCTTCCAGAAGTGCACTGGAGGAAGTATGTGAGCCATGGTCCACGATATTGAACGCCCCGAGTCATGCATTGCTCTCTGCCGACTCGCCTGAAACGTGCCGGAAGGGAAACTCGTCGAGCATCGATGCATGCTCTCTTGCTGGCCAACAAGGCCTTCGCATGAAGGCGCTGTGCATCTTTCCTGTTGTCGCAGCTGGCTGGAGATGGCGCTTTGACTTTGGTCGTGCAATTTGCACCCGAGCTCTTGCGTCCGCCACATTTCCCCTTGCGGTGGTTGGCTGCGCGGTGGGTTGGTTCGACCCGTGCGAGCCGTGTCGACACTATTATTATAGAACCGCCATGATGGTGTGCTGCCGATGATGCCGAAGTGTAGACATCCATGGAGACAAAGAGGAGAAGAGATTCGCCAGATATGTTGTTTCGGTTCCCATCGTTATTGCCTCAGGCTGCCCGGGCCCTAGCCTCCGAGGGAAAACAACGCTCACTTTCGCACTTCCGCACGGCAAGACTGGGCACGATCTCATGCTGTTGAGCGCCCATCCACGTGAACCCAGCCTGTCAAGCCTGCTGCATCCCGTACTGCGCGCCATTGAGAAGTACATTCGACCCAAAAAGGTCCATCTCTCCTCTACTCGAATCAATCAGGCCGCACCCGTCTCGGACTCTTCATACGGTTCTCATCGCTACCGACATGCAAGCCAGCTTCAATAGGCCTCTGCCACGTGCGCGAGAGCGCGACCATGAAGTACAACTATTCAATGGCACCAATTTCCTTCTTCGTCACTAGACGCGAGAACGCCGGTCATGCATCAGCTGGAAGTATCGTCTGCAACAACCCAGCACAGTCACGGCTTGAACACAGCCTAAGCAATGTTATCTGACACCCATCTCATCATGTGATCGTTGCACAAGTAAAAGTTACCCGCTCACATCCCGTATAACAGGTGAACGTCGAAGAACCGCAAGAGAAAATTGCTCTCGAGAAGAAACACAACATTCCCAACCTTTGAGTATGACGATGAACTCGAGCACTCTTCGAGAGCACGACGAGCAAGCAGAGGCCTCACGCCAACCCTATGGAGTCCACGCCGTCAATTCCGTCTTTGCTCAAGAAGCGAAGAATGACATGAACGGTGCCACATCGCCAGCAGTTTCGCAGATGGGCACCGAGACACATCCGAGCATAAATCGCAATATCTCTGCGCCCAAGTCATAATGACAGTGAGGCTCACTAAACAAACTGTTCCAGTCAACATATCCGAAGCACAAAACGAAACCATTTTGGCATCTGCAACATTGTCGGTTATAGTTTGCCTGCAATCGAGAGCCTGTTGCGTCCACTTGATCGCAATCTAACAGTAACAGCATATACTCTTGGCATTTGCTCCATTCCTGTCAAGCAGCCTTCGCCATATTCCGTTAAACGGACGACTCTTCATATCGTTTTGCTTCTGGCCTCGGCGAGCGACAGGAGAGGTGGTTGCAAGGCCAAGCTGCAACTCATGGATCACGTGCGCGTATCAGAGAAGCGCCAATGCACTGTGCCGCACTGTAGCATAGGCGAGTTGTGGGCTCTCTGACTTTCTTTAGCAACGCTTGCAGAATGTACAGCCCCTCGACCCGAAGCATTGGAACACACATGACCACCAGAAGCTCTTTTGTACTGAGCCGATGTGGAAGGCCTGCAGCTCCCAGGGCTGGACTTCAAGCTTGAATGTGCTCTGGTAGCGTTTCGAGACGTGCGGCGCAGCAAGAGGTGTGCCTGCTGCGGCCTCTCGAATAGCATACAATATGTCTCTGCCCATCGCTCCTGGTGCTGTCAGAGGACCGCTCCTCTATTTTGTGCTTTTCCAAAATGACCTTCAGTAAAGCCTGGAGCCCCACCTGGAAAGCAGAGGAGGTACTCGGTATTCCGCCCGACTGCAAGACATGCAGTGCACAGATCAAGAAAGGGAATGGGAGGCTCTGTCATAATCCAATCCATAAGAATAATAGGTACAATGCCGGAATTCTACTGCGGCAGATCCCTGCGATTTCTCGCAACCCAAGAAAGCTGGATTTAATGCTAGAAGATCTTGCTGCTTGCTTGTTATGCCGGGGTGTTCACATCAAAGAAGCTCTCCACTGGGACTTGGTACTCCAGAGATGGACGAATAGCATTGAACGGGCGAACCAGGAGGAGCTGAAACGCAAGAGTCAGCCACCCAATTACGACGTACCAGGAGAACAGCAAGAAAGCAAGCAGGGCTACACTGATGCGCATACCCAAACTGGCAGTGGATCAACAAGGCCCCAAGGCCCAAGGTCGAGACCAAGTGGCGCAAGTGCACAGGATGAGAAGCAGAGGCGCGAGTTCGAGCGCCAGCAAGAAGCCAAACGTCAAGCCAAGCTCGAGCGCGAGCGCCAGAAGGCGAAAGCTAAAGCGCAGGCGGAGGAGGAGACACGCCAGCGCCAGCGACAAGAGCACTCAGCTCGAGAAGAAGATCGCCGCCGTGAAGAGCGTCGTCAGCAGGAATATGCGAAGCCGAAGGTCTCCTGGGAACTCAGTTGGGAACTGTACCGCATTCAACTAAGGAACTTTAAACGTCTGCCATCAGCCACGCCAGCCAGTGTACTGACCCAAGCAATGCCTCGCCCGTTGCGAGGACCTCACGAGAACCATCTCCCTCCACAAGACCAATCGTTCGAACGCGAAGTAGAAGCCTTTTTCAAGAATATGCCTGACGTCGATTTGAGTTCAGTGGCAGGCAGGAATAGTTTTCGCAGGAAATTGAAGCTGGAGGGGACTCTGGATTGGCATTCAGACAAAATTGTCCAGCATTTCCCACACTTGACCGATAAGGATGAGGCTATTGTGTTCGCTAACAGCGTGATGAGTGTGATCACAAGGATCATGGCGAACTCGTAGTACAGAAGATGTGTCGACGGCGTGCATTCCGCGCGAGCGATGCAGGTGCGGAGGTTGGTCGGCTTGCAGCTTGATTGCGTATGGCGAATGGTCTGAGAGCGATCTTGGGCATTGCTGCCTGTAGGCTGATCAGCAACTGTGTGGTTGTAAAGCAAAATCAATGTATGTTTCGCGTCTCGCCATATATATCGTTGAGAAGTGAGCATGTAAAAGGTACCACGAGTCCTGGACGTGATGTCGCTGCTGCCGTCACTGCATACCACCGATGGCCGGCGATAAGAGCTGGATGCAGGGCATGACAGGGTAATCAGCCGCAGCGCACAGCGCAGCTGGCGAACAGCTTCGATCATTGGCGGGGATGACGCCGCCGATACCGCCGCATTCACGCATAGTAGCTTTGCCCTCGGGTAAAGGTCTCTTGTGAAGGAGACTTCGCACGTCAAGCAAAACTACCGCCCACTCAGCGGCGCCAGACACTACTCAACCGATCCCGCCCGCCGTACATACATAATCACTGATCATGTCTGCTCTTCGGTCGTTTACCGCTGCCGCACCCTCCCTCACCCACACCTCCGCCAGAATCGTTCCGGCTGCACGCGCATTTCCACGACCAATCGCGGCAAAGGTTGTACAGCGCAGAAACATGGCGTCACAGCAGATTCCCAAGATCAAGGTCAAGAACCCGGTCGTCGAGCTTGATGGCGATGAAATGACTAGGATCATCTGGAAGGACATCAAAGACAAATTCATCCACCCATACTTGGACATCGACCTCAAGTACTACGACTTGGGGCTGGAGAAGCGTGATGAGACGAACGACCAGATCACAGTGGATGCTGCTGAGGCAATCAAGAAATACAGCGTGGGCGTGAAATGCGCGACCATCACGCCCGACGAGGCGCGTGTGGAGGAGTTCAAGCTCAAGAAGATGTGGCTGTCTCCAAATGGCACAATCCGAAACATCTTGGGCGGCACTGTCTTCAGAGAACCGATTGTGATTCCACGGATACCCCGACTTGTGCCAGGCTGGAAGAAGCCAATTGTCATTGGTCGTCACGCACACGGAGACCAATATCGTGCGCAAAACAGAGTCATCGAAGGCCCTGGCAAGCTGGAGATGGTTTTCACGCCGAAGGGCGGAGAGCCACAAAAGATTCAGGTCTTCGAGTTCACTGACAAGCACGAGGGCGGTGTAGCTCAGACACAGTACAACACTGTGGAGAGTATCAAGGGATTTGCCCACTCTTCGTTCAAGCACGCTCTTTCTCTCGAATACCCGATGTACATGACAACGAAAAACACAATCCTGAAGGCATACGATGGAAGATTCAAGGACATCTTCCAAGAGATCTACGAGAAGGATTACCGCAAGGACTTTGAAGCCAAGGGCCTGTGGTACGAGCACCGTCTTATTGATGACATGGTCGCTCAAATGATCAAGAATGAGGGCGGCATGGTCATTGCCATGAAGAGTATGTACTTGCCGACTCTTGTCCCTGGTTTCACGATTCACTGACAGCACATAGACTACGACGGTGACGTCCAATCCGATATCGTTGCCCAAGGATTCGGATCCCTAGGTCTCATGACCTCAGTGCTAGTCACTCCAGATGGAAAGACCTTTGAGGCCGAAGCCGCTCACGGTACCGTCACCCGCCACTACCGCGAGCACCAGAAGGGCAACCCAACCTCAACAAACCCCATCGCGTCCATCTTTGCGTGGACACGAGGTCTTGCCAAGCGTGGAGAACTTGATGGCACACCAGAAGTGACCAAGTTCGCTGAGAGCTTGGAGGAGGCATGTATCCACGTTGTTGATGAGCAAGGCATCATGACCAAGGACTTGGCCATCAGCTGTGGAAAGAAGAACGACTACGTGACGACGACCGAATACCTCGATGCAGTGGAGAAGAGAATGCGAGCTGTGCTCAGCTCGAAGCTGTAAGAATATCGACAGCCGCGGTCTTGGGTAGATGCAGTATGTCCCAGCATTTGGAACAGTCCCGTCATGTACAGTGTAGATAGGTACAATAAATAGAGTATCACGTCCACGAAAATTCCTAGGTGGTCTGTGTTCATGAGCTGTTGGACAGTAGAGCAGGAGAGCGGAGCAGAGCCCGCGATTGTGGTGCCTCAGGCCTTGCGCTAGTCGCGCACTCGGAATTCCACTCGCAATTCGACTTTTGGGCTTTTGGATTTCAGATTTCCGCTCGACACGCCCACTTCACCTCTCCCAACCACACGAACTCCCACACCACAGCAACAATGGCAGAGCAGCTCGTCCTCCGCGGTACCCTCGAGGGCCACTCCGGCTGGGTCACCAGCTTGGCCACTTCTCTCGAGAAGTAAGAATACACGCGGCGCAAGTGAGCAGACCAGCATTGGCTAACAGCAATTGACAGCCCAAACATGCTCCTGTCTGGTTCCCGTGACAAGACTCTCATTGTCTGGAACTTGACCCGCGACGACACCAGCTACGGCTACCCAAAGCGCTCGCTCCACGGCCACTCCCACATCGTCTCCGACTGCGTGATCTCCTCCGACGGTGCCTACGCTCTTTCTTCCTCGTGGGACAAGACTCTGCGCCTGTGGGAGCTGTCCACTGGCCAGACCACCCGCCGCTTCGTCGGACACAACAACGACGTCCTCTCCGTCTCCTTCTCTGCCGACAACCGCCAGATCGTGTCCGGTTCGCGCGACCGCACCATCAAGCTGTGGAACACCCTTGGTGACTGCAAGTACACCATCACCGACAAGGGACACACCGAGTGGGTCTCCTGCGTGCGCTTCTCGCCAAACCCACAAAACCCAGTCATCGTCTCTGCTGGTTGGGACAAGTTCGTCAAGGTATGTTCAGCTAGAGACGCTGCTTTCCCCTCCGCCCTCACATGATGCTTTAAACAAGTATTTGCTACTTTAGAGCCGCCATCTACGGCTATGAAACAAACCTGCCTATAAGGCATACTGATCCCCTGTCGATCAATGCATGCACTAGACGTTGGACACTAGAATCGGGACAATGCGCTGACTTCGAAAACCAGGTCTGGGAGCTCTCCACCTGCCGTCTGCAGACCGACCACATTGGCCACACTGGCTACATCAACACCGTCACCATCTCTCCTGACGGATCCCTCTGCGCCTCCGGTGGTAAGGACGGTACCACCATGCTCTGGGACCTCAACGAGTCCAAGCACCTCTACTCGCTCAGCGCTGGTGACGAGATCCACGCTCTCGTCTTCTCGCCAAACCGCTACTGGCTCTGCGCTGCCACCGCCAAGGAGATTGTCATCTTCGACCTCGAGAAGAAGAGCAAGGTTGATGAGCTCCGCCCAGAGTTCGTCGAGTCCGGCGGCAAGGCCCGTGACCCAGAGTGTATTTCGCTCGCTTGGTCTGCTGATGGCCAGACTCTGTTCGCTGGTTACACCGACAACAAAATCCGTGCTTGGGGTGTCATGTCTCGCGCTTAAATGCGTGTAGTCAATGATGTTCACTCATGAGGAATGGGATCACGAACAACACAATGGGGACGAGGATGGCATTGGAAACGGCATGATGAGGTGCTGCGATACGAGGCTCGCCAGGTACTACTTCATGTGGTTGTGGGAAGCACATCCTGGACTGAGAGTATGACAGGTCGCAGCGGTGCACGTGCCAAATAGACGAGATGATGAAAAAATGAATACGACTCGATTCACACTTCATTCGCTCTGCCGCTTCATTCTCCATTAGCACACTACACAAATCGAATATTGAAACCTGCGTGAACAATCGCCAGGATCCGAAATTGACCATAATGATCATTATGATCTACCTCAATCGAAACTGATCTTTTTGCCTGTTCCAGCAACAGCAGTACCAGAAGCCTTGTCACTCCTTTGCGCCTTCGCAAGGGCGGCTCCGGGCGCCGTTAGTCGCGCATCATGCTTCTTCCTTCGTAGTTCCTGTCTCTCATCCTTGTTCATCTTTTTCAGATTCGGATCCCGCTTCTTGTTGCTCTTCTCCCTTGGTGCATCTCGCGCTGCTGCAGCTTGTGCCGCCAATGCCTCGATGCTCTCTTCTTCTGCGCCGTTGCCAGCCTGCTCTTCGCCGTGGTGTTTCGCTGCTCCGCTGCTACCTTTCCCATACCGCTTTTGGTATCTGGTTTGTTTGTCCTCGGCGAACTCCAATTTCATCATGCGACCGTGAATCCGATTGATGAACCACTTCATTGGTTTCTTCTTTTTTTTCGCATGTCGCTTTTTCTGTTCGGCAGTGTACTCTTCGCTGTCGCTATCACTGCCCTTCTCTTTCTCTTTGTCCGAATTAGCAGTCTCGCTGTCCTCATCATCATCTTGCTGTTGTTCTTTGTAGATGAAGCCCTTCACAGCTTTTTCTGCGGCTTCGATATCGGCGAAAGTCACCCAGCCAAAGCCTTTACATTTTCCGCTGTCTTCGAATGTCGCGAGGAAGACGTCTTCGACGGTACCGGCTTGGGCGAAGTGTTCTGCTAGTTCGTCTTTGGTGATGTCAAAGCTCAGGTTCCCAACGAAGACACGCTTGCTTGGGGCTTTTGTGCTGGTGTTTCCGTGTTTTGCAGCATCCTCTTCCGCCTTCGTTTTGGCGGGGCGGCCTTCGAAACTTTTCGCATTTTTGATGAGCACTTTGCGCCCATCGAGGAGCTTCTCTGTGCATGTGATAGCGATGTTAAGGACCGCTTCAGTGGTGAAATCGACGTAGGCGAAGCCCTTGTTCTGCTTAGTGTTGTGGTCGACGGGTAAGTGTAGGCGTGTGATGGAGGTTTCGTCGATGCCACCGCGGTCAAGGAAGAATCGGCGGAGGGTTTCCTTCGTCGTCTTGAAAGAGAGGTTGCCAATCCAGACTCCATAATCTGACCGCTTACCCGCTTCTTCTCCTTTGGCTACCGGCACTTGCAGGCTGCGTGAAGGATGGATGTTGTCCTCCTGCGCTTTGGTTGTAGCACTGCCATCATTTGCGGCATCTGAGTTTTCTGTTGCAGCTGGCTTCGATTTGGCCTTTTTCTCTTTGCGCTTGGCTTTCTTCGACGGTGGCTCGGGCAGATTGACATCGATCTCGAGTTCATCCTCCTCCTCCGCCTTCTCCGCCCTCTTGCGCTTCTTCTTCTCGGCCTTGACGTCGCTCGATGACATGTTTTCCCGTGACATTGTGCGCCGTGGTCGTTGTAAATGTTCATCTGAAGTTTCACATGAAATTCTGGGTGGAGCTCGAGGATCGGCTGCCGCTTCCGACAGGGATCAATCGTATCACGCATCACGTCGCCCACCTCGCAGCTGTCTGCCACTTTCGCGACGCAGCACCCACGACATCACCACACACACACATCACGGCATTATCAATTCTCGCGAGCCAACCGATGGTCGCCTCTCTGTATTCCATCTGACGCACCCCACAAGCACACCGAGAACAGCATTGAACAATGTCGGACACGGAAGGCCATGCTGCAGCGGCAGCTCCAACGCAACAGCATCCCGATACTGGGGGCAAGTCGTTGGCAGCGGTGGGCGAGCGTGCACGCTACAAGTCATACCGCAAGAAGTATCGCAAGCTGCGGCACAAGTTCGATGGCGTGTTGGAGGAGAACAAGAGGCTGTTCAAGGAAGAGCAGAAGATGCTGGGCACTGCACGCCGATTGCGCGAGGAGCTGGAGTAAGTGCTTCTCCACGTAGCCGCATGTTGCACTGCGCAGATAGCTGATAGTTCCCCAGTTCCGTCTTGGAGGTGCTGCTTGATTTGAACCAGAACCAGGCCCTTCCCACCGACTTGCGATTCGATGTCTCCCTCGAGAACGAACACTCGGCCGTCGCCAACATACCAAGCGTTGTCGATAGCAATATCAGCCCCACAGAAGCGAATGCGCTCTTGATGGAGTACACGACTGCTGTTCAAAACGGCCAGATCCCCCACCTTGACCTGCATGTTATAAGAGAACAGATTGACAAGAAGCTTGCGCGACAAGGCCTTCTTTCGCTGGACAAACTTGAGGAGGAGGTCTCGCATGCACGTCCGTCCCTCGAGAAGCCATTGCCAAGCGACATCAAACCCGACAATGCCTCAAGCTACTTGACATCTCAGGAAGAAGATGACTATCTGCTTCGCCTGGACGCGACCCTTGGTGACCCTGTTGCTCAAATCAAGGAGAAGGAGCATGCTGAGGACATCAAACACTGGGCTGACATGACACCTCGTGAAGTCGAGCGACAAACAGAGTTGCAAAATCCGCAGAGTCAACACAATTGGTTAAAGACACATGCAAAACAATCAGGACCTACTGCGGATATCGACGACAACGACAGTGTGGATGTGAAACCTGCTCGCGGAGCTGGCGCAAAGCGTAACCTTGCCAAACAAGTCGGCGACAGATCTCTTGGACGGGCGAGGGAAGGTGCTAGCCCTGCTGCTTCCTTTGTTGATGACGACGAATTTGGGAGTTTCGTGGACGATCATCCTAAGAAGCGCGGACGTGATCCAGACAGTACGTACAGGATCAAAGGAGGCAAAGGCAGTGCCACAAACGGCAAAGGAAAACGCAAGCGCAGCGACGAAACCCCGAACGGAAGTACTAAGAAGGCTCGAGTGGAAGAAGATTGAAGTCGTTCAGCATCGCAGCATTCTCCAATATCGAGACATTCAAAAGCATCAAGCGGAAGTGCCGTTTGTCTATGGCATGAGTTGGCTTGGCCTTGTAGCACGTTCCAACCACGCTATGCTTGCAGGTTTGGGAGAATTACGGAACGGTTCATCCATTGCCAGGCAGCGATATGTCGGGGACGGCAAAGCTGTCGAACCTGGTGTGATACGTGGCCGCGCTATGGGCGCCGTCGCAGGTCAGACCAATACTGTGTCTACTCCGCGACAGAATCAGGCGCATCGCTCGATGCAGCCAGTGTGTACACTCATTTGAGGTCTGGGCCTCCCCTCAGGACGCGAGAAAGGTCGGAGCACCATTCGTGCAGACTTGACAATAACCAGACCGGCGCCGTGGAGGATGCCGCGCCTCTGAAGGTTTGCTGTGTGCCGTGCGGCAAAAGCCAGCGAATCCACAGTTCATGGATGCCATGTACTATGTAGAACACGCAAACACATTGATGTAGCGTCCAATAATATCAATCTCGCCTCAGGTGGGCGTCATTCGCCTGGGTGTTTATCAGCTTTCTCCACATATTCGAGGTGTGCCGGCCATGGACAATAAAGTATCAAGCTACCATGATAGGTCTAAACAGACCCGAGTCAATGGACACGGCACCTTTTGACTTCAAGGTTTGACGACTGCCGTAGCATGGCATGAAGCTGGGGAGCGCAAGGTAGCGGACAATGCGTTAAGCTACTAAGGGCACGATACACAATTGTGCTCCCACAATTGACTCAGCGACAGTGAACACGTACGACATCAATCATATTGCTCATCTACAGACTATTCCGTGGACTCCGGCAGATTTTGACGACCTTAATTGTTGGAGACTTTCTGTGCTGGCGACACATTCCCCCTCTCCTCTCAAGAGACCCCTATCCATCTCTTTACATTCTCATACCATCCTTCGGCCGCTCGCTTCGCCTTTGCTCTCGCAGCTTCTGCAGCCGCCGTTGCTTGCGCTGCAAGACTGTCAAGCTCATCGTCGTCGAATCCCAAGTCCTCATCAGCGGCATCTTGGTACCGATCGTTTACATCCTCTTGGTTGCTTCGTCGCGTCAAGTGAGAAGTATCATAGCCTTCAAGACTGAAGTCGACGTCCGACGGCCAACCATCTTCATCGTCATCGTCATCGTCGTCATCGTCAGCACGACGGGTTAGCGTGGGATGTTCATAGGTTTCGTATCCCTCGAGGGAGAAATCGATGTCCTCGTCTTCAAAATCGGCTTGGCCAGGTTCGTAGTTCTTTAGTGGAGTGTTTGAACGGGCAGAATGTCGATGGCCTAGGATGTCATCTTCGTCGGCGAAGCCTGTAGTAAAGTCCCTCCTGCCCAGGGTAGTATCGTCCACTTCATCCACATCGATCGCGCTGATGTCGTAGCCTTCAAGACTAGTATCGACGTCTCCTCCCAGCTGTCGCTTCACAATCTCCGCCTGCTTGGCAATGTTGTCTCGTGCGTTCAGAATTGCGACACGTCGCTTCTCATGAGCTTGGTGTATTGCGACCGCGACAGGTTCGTGGTCATAGCCTTCGAGAGAAGTATCGATCCCTTCCCCATATTCAGCTTCTAGGGAGGCGATTTTGTTGGCGAAGGCACCACGCACGTAGTTTTGATGCGCGTTGAATTTCGATTTGACGGGGAGGACGAGGCAGAAGAGAGCGATGGGCAGCCAGAGAAGATAGAAGTTGCGCAATACAGCCATGTTCTCGGAAAAGTCGTCTTGATGGGCGAAGTATAGCAATGCCGCTGGGCCCGACGAAACCTGTTTGGTTGTAGTAATACGATATCAAGGGGAGATATTATCGAGCTGTACTCAGAAGCACCGTCAGTATTCGAGGTTGTCGAGCTGTCGCGACCCGTTTTCGGCGATTGTTGTGCATAGCAGAGGCTGATCACCGGATCGGTTCTTCTTTGACGCCACACGAGCGGCAACAAAGAAACACATCTCCACGCTATGACGGCATGTCGCTGGGACTGAAGTAGGAGCAGAATGCGCTCTCGATGCTGTTATAAAGCGACAGTTGTGGTGCTTGAATGAGGTTTGGCTGTAGAATGGGACGTGTGTGGAATGTGAGTCCTAAAATGAGGTCAATGCAGACCTTGTCTGAACCGCAAAACAGCAAAGAGAACAAAACGACTTCGATACTCCAAGATATGCAGCGCTACCTCGTGAACAAACGAGACTACCCCCGCAGCGCCTCTGCAAATTGATGCTGGACTCGAAGAGGCGACCACGAATGAGCAAAGGAGCAAAGGAGCCCGGGGATTTTGAAGGCGCGGCGCGTATAATCGTCGAATTACCGAGCTAATTCCTTGATCAGTCAGTCACTTGGTACAGACGGAGACTTCGTCTGAAGCTTGGAGCGAATGCCGAGCTGTTTGATGCAGGAATTCTACCCACGTCAAGGTTGGACTCATCCATTTGCGACCTACAATGCTGGAACAGTGTCGCCATGAATAATACACACAAGTCAATTGGTTTCCCGTTGCGTACACTTGTCGCTTATGTGCTAGAAACGTATCGCGTCTCCTTGGCCAGAACATAAATGGACTTGAAAGCCCGCGCATTGACAACAGCCTCCCAATGCATAGCACTCGAAGAGTGTCCAGCTTCTTCTTCATGTTACTGCATGGTGGCGACAACGAGTTCGAGTGTCCAAGCTGGGATGGGTTCAATAAACGGTTCATGTTAGCACATGGCCAATGGTCATTTTGAGCTTTCAGTGAGCTCATCTGTTCATAGTACAAAGGGAAGCTCTTCGCTGGATATGTACACGTCCCGTCTGCATGATTAGACGACAGATCGGTCCAGGACGGCGACATCGCCCTCATTCTCACTGCGTGCTCGGACAGCCTTGGGTCCGCCGAGTTCAGCCTCTAGTCCATCTGAGAAGGTCCGGGAAACAGAGGGCTGCAGAATGTCAGCATCGTAAGCAGATTTAGGAGTTGCCATACTGACTCTGTCGGGATAGAATCTGTAAACAACGGCGCAAAGCACTCCAACAGCTCCGACAAAAGTGCCGAGCAGCACACCACCCCAGGCAGATGTGAAATGTGTGTACACCTCAGGAGAGAAGATGCCGAGAATATCATTGTCCTCATGGACGGGCTCGCCGTAGTTTCGTCGTTCTTGCTTGTCCCACCTGTTTGGCTATCAGCAACCACAGAAATGGTATCGAGTTGAGCAGTGATTGTGCTCACCAGTCGCCGTGTGGATCACGGAATTGTCTCTTGATGGGCAGCGCCGACGTGAGACTTGGATCTGGGTAGTTGCCATTCTAACACCACAATCATCAGCGCTCCTGCGTCTCCAGTGGTCTCCCCATGCCTTGTCTATCCACCCTTGCCCACCCATTGTGTTGCTGGAATCTGCATACCATGTTCGGATCTCCAACATCCTCAGACGCCTGCTCCGCCTCGCTCGCACTCTTGTCGTCTGTTGCCGGCCGTCTGATCGCTGGTGCTGAGGCATAGGTGCGCTTCGCGAGGTTCGAGGGAGTGGTGGAAGGGCGGACGAATTGTGCTCGCGGCGCCAGGCGCAGCGCCGTGCGAAGACCGGCCATGACTGTTGAATGCCCTCGGGGAGGCGTGTAGGAAGTTTTGAGCGCGTCGAGAGCTCGAGTGTCTCTCAATTGCTGACTATGGCGGAGAGCTGCTTGGGTGATGCTGCTGTCGGACCAGGCTTGGCAGAAACGGGATGCGCCGTTGGAGGTTCGCTCCTTCTTCGCTCCGCAAGTGGCTCCGCCCGCAAGCGCGACTCGAGCTAAAAGTTGCAGCGACCACGCCAGCAGCACGACGTCGGGCGGCTCACTTTTGACTTGTTGTTCTGCACTGATCGCATGGGCTTGGCGTGTTGGGGATTCGAAGGTCGTCTACAGCAATTGCACCGCGTCACGCGCCCGTTGAATGTGCGAGTTTCATGATGGTCTTTGTTGGACGAGACGCGACGGTCGTGATTTCTGGCCATGAACCCTCCTGATCTCCCCACGCGCGAGACCGACGCTGTGATTGACGAGAGCGTCGCCGAACCACTCGAGCAACACGCGCGACTCGCCTCACCACGCGACGACGGCGACGACCCCGCAGCCGACCCGACGACCATCAAATCCGAGCCTCTCG